GAGCTCCAAGGCGAGAGCTATACGAGCTCCGGCTGGACGGCCATTTGCATCTTCCATGCACTCGTCAACGTTCTCGGCCGTCAACCAGGGTTCGCCCACATCCCGGCTACGCACCTTAAAGATCTGCGAAGTCTTCACCGAACGACTGCCGCTGAGAAGTCTAGTACATGTCCAGACACAGGACTCGGGCGACATCTAAAGTATCGCGAATGTACATACAGGCACGGAGAGCGGGTTCTCCGAGGCAGACAACGACCGGCGAAGACGAGCAGCCACGATACGGCAGCAAGCCGTCTGCCCTCTCCCATATTCTGATGCATGCATAATATTGCGCGATGCTTGCCGCGTTGAAAATCTTGAGACATGCTAAAAGCGTCGCTACCGTGAAGACAGAAGCTGTCTGACGCGTCCCGGCATCGATTCACCTCATGAAACATCGCCTCATCTAGTCTGCTTATTACAGAAGGTCATGTTGAGAAAATCGCCCGATGACCACGGGGATGCCAGTCAGGCCTCGGGCCACTGTCCGGGCCTGGGGACGGCAGGCATCACAATGTAACCTGGGCTGGGCATTGCAAGGTTGCGAACTGCTGTGGAGATGTGATTCATCATCAACGACTGGACTGCCTGCTTGAGCTGTTCAGTCAGAGTCGTATCGTTTCATGTGCTTTCAAGCTTAAATCTCTCACGTGCATCAAGGTCACTGTAGATGCCGAGGCCGAAATCATTACAGCTCCGCGGGTGAGAAGTGCTCCTGTCCTCGGCTTCTCCAACAGCACTCTGTTGAACAGACTTGTGATCGTCCCCAGGCCGCGGTCCATATTCTCTCAATCATGATTGCGCCTTCGAGGCACACCTGGCTGACCTGTGACCTGGGTCGGGTGGCTGCATTTCCATCATTACGCGGATCTCTAGGTAGACCCAATTTCTGTTTCATGAGGTGGTGAGGCTACATCGTCGGCGGCAACTCTGCTCGGAAAACCACATTCAGGACGCTGTTACCGGGGACGCATGACGACCCTGAGTCTGAGAGGAGGATGTACTGCGTAGAGTCTTTACCCAATGGAACCATCGACCCGACTGCCAGTGACGTTGTGTCCCGATTGCCGAACGCGCGGGACGAAGGAGATCGGCTCCGCCGATGCCTGAAACCACGGACACACGGTACACCCCTTGTCGCTTGCGTCAAGTCACAAGTGGCCTGGGAATGTCGGACAGGAAGGGAAGGAGAGAACGTCGACGAACGGTCCCGGCCGGCATGTTCATCCAGGCAGCCAAAGCACGACCGCTGCCCTTGGCATTGTTTGCCTGTCCGAAATACATATCCCCTAATAATACTTCCAGGAGCCGGCCAGCAGTGTAAGAAAGTTGATTGTGTTCATGTTTCTTGGAGTTACATTCCATTCCATTCCAGTGTTACAGTCAAAGCTGTGCCGTCCGTGTGACGGGACACAGACATCCAGATCTAGAGAATGCTACTCCATTGAGGGGCTGGATCTGCACCAGCGACGCATCCTCACGGCTCAGGAAGCGCTCAACACCACTCTCTGGGGAACATGACCGTGCCCTGACCAGTGACAACTACTGCCTGAGCGTCCCGGGGCCTTGGCCAAGGAGTCGGGCAAGATACGACGACGACGACGCAGAGGCAAGCCCATGGCACGGCAATTGCACCGGCATGCCCAGAGAAGCCAAGCCATTCACACCGGTGTAACATGGCCTTCTTCGACGAGGCCACCCACCAATAAGCTATGTAGGCAACCGAGCTTTGTGTGCGCATCGCATGCGGTCGACGTAGTACCATGCGCCGTTCCCCCATGCGCGTGCGAGCTGGGCGAGACACGATGTCCTCGGAGATAGAAGTGGTACGGGGCATGTTTCTCACCATCTGCAACGAACGAACGACCTTGTATCACCATCGCGACGAACGATGATCCAACGACGTCCGCTCGCTTCCAGCCGGGGAGGCAGGCCTTCCTATTCGCAGTGGGCCTTCATGTAGGTAAGGTAGGTAGGTAACTCCAGCTCTCGGGTTTCGCCCGGGGGGGTTCGCCGTCGTAGGTAGCAGTACGGTAAGCCAGACGGGCGGCGTCGTCGCATGTACAGTACGCAGTAGTCATTGGCGTTGCAGATGGGGGACAGAGCCGCAGACCCAGAAAGCCCGGCTCGCATGACATGAATTTGCAGCAAGGACCATGGTGCTGCGTCTACCTAGTTGCGGCTGAGTGTGCTATGTAGGGGTCTTTCGGCCGAGGAACATGTTCACCAGCTTTCGGCCTTGGTTCGAAACAGGTCAGGCAGTAGTTTGAAAACGGGATCGTCGAGTCCAAAATAGCAGCAACATAGAATGCGCGAAGAAGGGCCGTTGTCTGTTCTGCTTCGAACACGATCCTGCCCGTACATCAAACAGCGAGCTTCAGATGACCATGCTGGTCTATTTTTGAACGATCAAGCCTTCTGGTCCTAGGCCTGGGTCGTGCACTGCATGCATCGCGCGGGGAGATCCGTGTTTGCGGACATAGAGACATACCAATACCAGGCCTTGTGAGATGCGCGTCACAACCACGAGAAGGAACCCCTTCCCTTTGATCCCCTAACGTAAATCATCCGTCGAATGGACAGGCTTCCATTCCTCCCTGGCCTGCCCAGGGGAAGGTTTGAGGCTAGAAATAGAAATAGCAACGCATCTCGCATGGCTTGCTTCCGCCCCTGATGAGAAGCACATGGTGGACGCTTGCTGCGTCGTTTGGGAACAAGGACAAGCCTGCGTGAAAGGAATGGGAAGGAGCCGTGAACGAGGGCATCGAAGGATGGTCGAGAACACACGGCATGCCACGCCGCTCGGGACCGGTAGATACCTTATTACTCCCCCCTTGTCCTCCTCCTTACAGCGTGCTGGGGGTACCACCAGATCATACACGATATGCATCTGGGAATGACGACTGGCGAACAATCCGCTGGTCGTGTCACGAGACTACTACTGCAAGGCGAGCCACCGCGCAGCGACATTGGGCAAACTGCGGATCTCGTGCTTGCCCGTCGGTCCATCCATCCACTCATCATTCGTCCATCTGTGTTTGCTGCGATCTCCAGGCGTCGGCATCGGTCGGTATCCAGGTTGCCAGGGACGGCAGACAGACAGACTGGCGACAGACAGGCAGTCCCTGTTCTGGTGTTTTGTATCGCCCTGATCGACGACGCAGGATCTTATTTTTATCCTTCCCTCACCCCCACTTGGCTCCCCCCTTCCATTCCTATCGGAACGGAGCCGAATAGCGCTGTGTCTAGCTGCCTGGCCTGTCCTCGACTGGCATGATCTCCGGTTCGCCGGCAGTGTCATCCCAGGCCCTCCTTCTCCGCTGCACCGGCGCTTCTTCGTCGCTTTCATCCGACTGAGAACCTGTTCGGCAGCGGATAATTAAATTATGATTATGGTCTGTGCTACCCCGGTAGTAACTCTTCTGAATTGCACATGATTATGGTGGCTGGCCCACCTTCCTAAAATGTCACGGAGAGCATTTAATACTTTGGTCTGTTCGGCATGTTTATTAAAGGCTGTCAGATTATCGAAGGTTGGCAAGCCGGTGGTGTTGAGCGGTAGCTGCAATCGTTGCTGTCATATTCAGGTCTGCCACATTGGGTGGCAGCTACAGCTATTTGAACACATCTGGTCATGCTGGAGTAGATGCTCCGGACCATCCTTTTCCGAGTCAGCGTACGAGTCAGGGTGCTAGTCATGGCAACCACCACGTGTCATGTGACTAGTCAGCAGCACACCGCAGTGCAGCCCCCTGAATCCGACAAAGGCTTTGTTAAACTATTTATACCCACTTTTAGCCTTTACTCTCGTGAGGGCATTACCAACCCTGCTATCGCCAACCAGGGCATCACTAATTAACGAGATAGATAGACAAGATCGACAGAGATACCTTAGAAACGCTATACGTTGGGTGTAGTAATAAGTACTACGGTCGCAATGTACCGGGCCGGGTCATGTGATAGCGCGACGGCTTCAGTGGTTACTTTAATAGGCATACCATGAAAAACCCTTAAAAGATAGTCATTTTAATAAGATAATTACTAAAAAAGTTAATTAAGTTATTGTGAGATTCTAGAAGGGTCACAAGCCTTTGAGGTGTGAGCGGTCGCTGCAAACGTTGTTGTCATTCTCAAGTATGCTCGGTAGGGCTAATCTACAGCTAAATACCATACTACACCATGCCAGGGTGGATTCACTGTTCCCTTGACAGCCTCCTAGTGGGTACTGCACCTAAGGGCACCATATCTGGGATCCAACATCTGACAGTTATTTATTAAAAAAGCCGACATCTCGACGGGAAATATAGCTAATAATTAGCTAGGAATAATAGGTCGAAGGCAAGAAATTAGCAGTAATTATAGTACAATAATCTTGCTAACTGTCCCGAACGGATGGATTTTGATTCCGATTAGGCCCTATAAGTTGTCGTCTGATTGTGGCCCCGAACAGATTCTTACGCAAGCACTTCTGATTTCTATGACTATCGTTAATAGTTATTGCAGGTTCGCCATGGCCTGGGTCGGCTCAACGGTTTTTCCACCTGCCGCGACTTCTGGGTGACACTGGCCCCGGGGGTTGCACTGTTTCGTGTTTGTGACCGATGATGATGAGTAACAGAGTCGTTGGCCGCCGGAGTCCTTGGCGGCACTCCCCGACATCTCGTAGTGGAAAACTTTTCCTGACAGCAAAGTGCGCGCCTCTGACAAGGCTTGCTAGGTGACTGGATGTATTAGTCTCCGTGATGGAGTCAGAAGAGAGACGCTTTGGACAATGGCAAGGGGATTGAATAGTTGAAGTAGATCGAGGTAGCAAGCAATTGAGTTTTCTCACAACATTTCACTTCCACTCTTTCAACTGATCGCTTGCTGGGAAGACCGAAGACCATACCACAATTTGCTAATCGTAATCGGCGCGAACCACTATCGCCATCGCCATCAGTATCAGCAACATCTCCAGCGCAATGTGCCAAACGCCTCTGCACGGGTTTCTCGCGGCCCTGCCGAAATGCGAGCATCACCTACACCTTGAGGGCACGCTCGAGCCGGAGCTCCTCTTCCAGCTCGCAGCCAAGAACAACATCACGCTGCCCGCCTCCAAGGACGCGGCCTTCGCGTCCATCGCGTCGCTCAAGGACCGCTACCAGCGGTTCCAGAACCTCGACGACTTCCTCGGCTACTACTACATCGCCATGTCGGCGCTCCTCGACGCCGGCGACTTCGAAGCCTTGGCCTACGCCTACTTCGCCAAGGCGGCGTCGCAGAACGTGCGCCACGCCGAGGTCTTCTTCGACCCGCAGGCGCACACGGAGCGCGGCGTCGCCTTCGCCACCGTCGTGGCCGGCTTCAAGCGCGCCCAGGCCCGCGCGACCGCCGACTTCGGCATCACCACCGAGCTGATCATGTGTCTGCTCAAGCACCTGCCGCTCGCGGAGGCGATGTCGACGTTTGCGCAGGCGCGCGACGGCGGCTACTTCAAAGACGGCACCCTCGCCGCCATCGGCATGGACTCGTCCGAGCTGCCCTTCCCGCCGCCCATGTGGCGCGACCTGTACGACGCTGCCGCCGCGGCCGGCATCCGGCGGACGGTGCACGCCGGCGAGGAGGGCCCGGCATCGTACATGACGCAGGCGCTGGACATACTGAACGCGCAACGCATCGACCACGGCATCCGGGCCTTCCTCGACGGGGACGAGGCGCTGGTTGCGCGGCTGGCGCGCGAGGGCACGCTGCTGACGGCGTGCCCACTATCAAATATCAAACTGCAGTGCATCTCGTCGATGAAGGAGTTCCCGCTGAGGAAGATGCTGGATGCTGGGGTTAGGTTCAGCATTAACAGTGACGACCCGGCGTACTTTGGGGGGTATATACTGGAGAACTACTGCGCGCTGCAGGAGACGTTTGGGCTGAGCGTGCGGGAGTGGGAGGGCATTGCGAAGGGGGCGGTTCAGGGGAGTTGGTGCGCTGATGAGCGGAAGGCCGAGATACTGGCCGAGATTGAGGACGTTGTTGGCAAGTGGTCATGACAGTCTGGAGAGCAATAGCATCAATAGCGTGGCTAGATAGATAATAGTAAGCCTAATCATTCATTCAAATTGTTATGTAGGTACTTTGCGCCTGGTCAACCGTCGGAGAGCAAGTATTTGTAGTTACCACTTTGAAGACACAATATCGAGTTACTCCCCCTTACCCACACCGCTCTGCGCGCGTCTGATTTTCCATACAACCCGTCCGGGGTAGCACACCTGTCTTCAAAGCAATACGGTGACCTGTTGTCGTCATGATTCTGGGTCTGATGATGAGAGGAGGACCCTGAGATGAACAGAGTCTTAACAGCCGCAGTAGATAAACACCAACAGCTCACGCCTCGAGATATCCCATATGCGGGAAATCTGAGTACTAGAGACGACGAGAGCACGAATGAAATTTGACCATACCATTTCTGACAGACTGATGTTCCTGGTTGGGGGTACTGCAGCAAAATAAGGTGATCACGTCGCCAGCCACAGGGTGCTGCCGATCCCCATGCCATATTTCCATAAACTCTTCATGATAGGAACCCATACATCACCACGAAAACAACGCCACTCCTGATGGAACCTTCAAGAACAGCAACTTGCTCCCGAGTCTTCCGCAGTCTCATCCATGCGCTCATCACAGCAAGCTGCTCACGGTGCAACTACCTGCGGAAAACGTCAGCGGGACAGCCCACCAGAATCAACCGCCACATAACAACCATGGACGGCCTTGAAATCCAAGACAGTCGTTCCCAGAAGTCAGTTGACTGCCAGCCAGCCGTAACCCGAGGTTACTCGAGCCGTTCCCATGCTAGATATCACCCCTAAAGCTCACGTCCTGAAGACGAGAGCGAGCCCATGGACTTGCCAATGGCGTGGCTTACAGGTCTAGTGCTATCTAATTTTCAATCACCGAAGTGAAAGGCAATAATCAATGCAGTTGTGATCCGTGTATTCAAGAAAAGTGTTACGGGGCTGCTGATGGTGACTCAACATACAGAGTTACCACCCATCGGTCCCGCCTTCACAACTCGAGCCAGTAACAAATGGTATGAGAAACACAGCTAATCTGCTTGCATGATGCGGAACAGAAGAATGTGCTCATGAAAGAGAAGTAGGGCATGTGTAGGTAGCGACGTCGGTCACGGAACTACGGTAGGTAACTTCAGCACGCACGACACTTGGTCCAGCTCGATTTCATCCAGCGGACTACCTAGAGGACAGCTCCGATCACGGATGATCAATCATAATATGTAATGTTGCTACGAATATTGCCAAGGGATATCCAAGAACTATACACCAAGCATACTCAATCCTCATCATGAGCACCAGTCAGCGGCCCCGCGAGGCCCTGCATGCGCCGCCCCAGCAGGTCATCCGAGCTATCGAGCTTTACAATACTCGTTGAATTCTGCCCGAATCCAGTTCGTCCATTCGATCGCTTCTTCTTCGACGTCGAAGCGCCGCCGTTCGCACTGGACGTGCTGCCTTCGTTCGTTTGCTGCTCTGCGGCGGCAGCGTCTCTAGCCCTCGCCTCATCGCTGATGGTCCGTCCCCTGGCTCTCGTCATGTTAATCTCGAGCGGCCGGTCCTCGTCCCCGCTGGACTCGGTGCGGACGTGGTGTCGGAAAGAGGAGGAGGTGCGCTGCTGTTTCTCCTGGGTTTCGCGCGACTCGGCTGTGTTGAGGAGCTCCACGGCCCACCGCGCGCAGCGGTCGATCAGCTTCCAGGCGGGAGGGTACAGCGTGGGGAACTGCGTGAAGCCGTGGCTGATGCCGGGTATCAAGACAACCTCTGCAACGTCCTTCTCGTCGTAATCCGTGATGTCGTCGAGGCCCTCCATGCGCTGCGAACTACGCTGCGAGTGGAATGCTTGTTTTGCGCGGCGTAGACGGCCTGCGAAGATGACGGTGTCGTCGACCAAGGGGTCGCGCTCGCCGGTGAGGAAATACGTCTTGGGAAAACGTTGTAGGAGGATGTCGGGGGCCAGGATGGGTGATAGGAAGTAGTCCTGCGAGAAGTCTGGGCGGCTGTGCGGGCCGATGTACAAGATGATCATGGCGCGCATCATCTCGGGCGTGAGGACCCGGTCGTTGAAGTAGGATATCATGGAGGCCATGGCCAGGCGCGTGCGCATGGGCTGGGGCTGGTGCGACAGCGACTTGGTATCGCGCTTTGAAACTGGCGAAGACGGTTGAGCTTTGGCCCAACTCTGGGGGTGGGCATGTGAGTACTCCGGATGTGGACTGCGAAGCCCGTCGCTGTCCGGAATGATCTCCCCTTTCGACCCATTTGATCCAGAACTAGGTCCTTGTGGAATTGGATATTCGTCCTCTTCGTCCGACTGATGTGGTGTACCAACTAGGTCGTTGTATTGCATGCTTTTGCGGCGCAGGTAGTCTTTGTTTGTAACCCGCACCCTCCTGTCCTTGATCAGAGACATCTGCTCGTCAGACATCCAGTTTCCAATATTCATATCCAAGCCGGGGTATAACAGCACGAGGCCGTCCGGGGCGGGGAGCTCCGTCTGTACAAGCGTTGGGCGCCGGTTGGTAGTGGTGCTCTCGATGACCATCAGAGTCATAGCCGTCGACAGGTTACCTCCGGCGCTGTCACCTGTGACCACAACCCGCGGGGTTTCGCGCCCTGACATCCCAATGCATCGGCCTTTGCTCTTGATAATGGTCGCGTACACATCGAAACACTCGTTCAGGGCGTACGGATACGGAAACTCGGGCGCCTTCTTATAGTCCAAGCTGAGTATGGGCAGACCAGTCTTCCCAGCCCATGCAAATAGCTTGTCGTCGTTGCATCTCGGATCCATAGCCACAAAGCCACCTCCGGGTATATCCAAGATCATCTTGCTGATATGCTCCAGGTCGGACACAGGCCCATCGTAGTATAGCCATCCGGAGACAGGCTCCTTATAGTCGCTCGTGCTTGGCCTCGGTATGCGGATAGCTCGGGGAGGCCAACGGGTGAACCGGGGTCGCATCAACTTCTGCAGAGTTTGGAGGTACGGCGTTGTTCCCTTGTTCCAGCTAACCCGCAGATGCTCGACGGTGAGCATTCCTCTGACTTTGCGGACCTTCTCGTCGGCTCGTTCCGCGGACACCATGTAGAAGACAGTGAAAACCATGCTGGCCAGATCCCTCAGCCATTTCTTCTTGATCTTCATGGCAGTCCAAAAGCCCGCGTCCAGAGCTGTCAGGACCCAGGTGGCGCGGAAATACGTTGCATCGTACATATTGGCCATGGGCTCCGGACTGGCCAGTCCAACGACTGTGCTGAAATGCCGGGCAGCATACAGATACATCATGGTGAGGACGACGGTCTGCCATGATGTGAAGGTCCTCGATGAGATTTTGGACAAGTACCGAATGACAGGTGGTCCATGTCGGTTGCCTCTGGATTTCCATCAGTTAGATGTAGAATAGCGGAGGTCATGCGAGTTGAGGGCTTACCTGAATAAGTAAAAGGACCAGAATGTCAGCGCAGCTAACACCTGCAGCCGGCGCGATTTGACGGACGGCCTTCCGATGACGTGGTCTAGCATTTTTGTACAATGAAGATGCAATCACGCTGCAATATGAGACAGTCTTAGGGAAATGTGGAAGGAAAGGGTGTAACCCCAAGCGCGCGTTATGGCAACTAAAGGAATGTCCGCAGACTTGGATGAGTGGTGTACAACAAGAGGCGCCACGGCGTTAGATGCGTTAGATGGAGAAGTAATAATGACTGTTGCGACAGTTGACTGGCGGCATGGCGTGAAACGGCGTATCGAGTCAAGACCAGAAGTCAAACCAGAAGTCAAAATGATGTCTCGGGCTGGAAGGACCGGATGACAAGGCTATCGACAACGGCGCTCGGGACGAAGCAAGCCAGGTAGTGGGTAGTTGCGATGAAAGAAGCATCAGAAGGAGAAGACTGGAAGGAGGGTGGTACAGATAGCTTGTGAAACAGACGAAGACCTGTAATGATCAGCTGCTGACTACCAGACTACCTACCTAGGTATGTACCTAGGTAGGTCAAGAACGGAGAACCTTGGAACTTGAAGAGATCCCATGATCTATCTGTATGCGAACTTACCTGTTAAGCGACGGGAGTATCGTGTCGGTCTTGGTCGGTGCCATGCGGAGCGGTGCACGTGTGACGTTTGCGTCCAGGGTCTAGGGACCAGACGCCGTTTCTGACATGTGAAAATGGCCAACATTGAAGGCGCCCCATCCAACCAACCGGTGCCAGCCAGCCATGATTCGGCTTCCAGGTTCAGCGACCTCCCTCATCCCATTCCCATTCCCAATGCCCATCTCCTACATCAATCTCCATGTTTGATAGACCACATGACATTCAGTACAATCATCCCCCATAAGTCTCCAATCAATCAATCAATCAATCAATAAGTTAGTTGTTCAGCAAGCGAGAGGTGAGATGGGTTAAGCACTCTGGAATAAGAATCCAATGTGGCTTGCCAAGTCGAAGCTGCTTATTCCGTGATGCTTATTCCATTGCAATGAATATAGCTTTGATGTCCAAAGGTGAATAGTTATGTACATGCCAGACGGAGACTTATGGCGGATGATTATGACTGAGGTGTTGACTGATAGTCTTTAACGGCTGAAGCGAAGCAGCAGTACGGTACTTAGCTCTCCATAGGGTGCATAGAGCCGTGGTATGCTGCCCACCACATCTCTAGATACAGTGAATGATACCAATATTATACCTCGTGGTCTGGCAATTCCTTGTCTCCGTGTCTACTCCTTTTCCCGGGCCTTGTGCTCTTCGCCGTCCGGTTCCTTCGGGGGATGTGATTCGGGACCCCGTGGCTGGGAGGGGTGATAGTTCCGTTGAGCAGGGGTGTACAGAGACTAGACCCAGCCAGCCAGCGTTGAGGAATGTGGGAGGAATGTGACCCCTACCGCCCGGAATGATCACATGAAAGCGGTGGTTCCTAGTGGGGGCCACCATTGGCAAGCCACCCTGGTCACATGACAACGGCATATATAGTACCGCCTACAGATTTTTTTCCCATCAGATTGGGATCATCCTTGACCCTAGGCCCTTATAGCTCAGTGGTAGAGCGCGTCACTCGTATCAGCAGAAGCTTTCTTCCATGATCTAGCGATATGACGAGGTCGGTCGTTCAATCCGGCCTGAGGGCAAAATTTATCTTTTGCCTGTGATGGATTTAGGTGCTTACAAATCGAACTTGCTCCAACCAATCAGGATCGCCCAAGATTCTGAGCACCTGCATGCCCCCTTAACTCAGTGGTAGAGTGACGCACTCGTACGCGTGACATGCGGAGGTCCATCGTTCAATCCGATGAGGGGCAATTTAACTTTTGGATTCTTTATAATTTTCTGCTTCATCTATATTTATACATGTTAGCTTTTTAGTTAGTCGTCGGACCGGGTGGACCACCCTCGCTAAAGTACGCTTTGATTTTTCACTCCCACTGTGGGTGGGGGTGAGAGAGGAGATCTGGACAACTTAGTTCACCCCTCGTTTGCCATAGAACTAACTAAACAGCTAGAGACAGCCTGGCGTGATATCTAGATATGTCTTGCTAGGATCGAGTTGACTTATCACGAACTCTTACACAGAGAGGCTTCCACCTCTAGATTACTAAACATAGTATTTGAACCATGTCTATGCGGTCGACTTTACGCTGGAGCTGCCCTGTCAATCCTCCACGTACAGCGGGCAATGTTGGAGCGAAGTCGGACCAAATTTATCTATTATCGATAACCAGCCGGAAGCCAACCCGGTCGGATTCACACTATTCTCTTCCTCCAGCGGTCAACATTGAAGGTAAAGGCGCGCCCTGCTTACAATTTATTAGTGAGTCTTGACTCAATCGCCGTGGTATAGTCGTCAAGCAGCAGTAAAGTGGACTGAATAGTCAATAGTAGCTTCTGTTGGGACTGTCTCATTGTGCGCTTGCTTGCATCGTTGTGTCTCTTGCCAAACCTTCGCAATCGCAATCGCAATGGCTCTTCGACTCCAATCAAGGCGATTGGCCTTTGCCGGCGCCCGTCGAACTTTCTCTTCACCGGCTACCGCATCTACTTCGAATCTCTCCCAAGATGTCCAGCGGTCAATCTCTCGAGAAGCGTCCCTCCCGAATCCAGACCCTCCCGAGGACTCTGCAAGCGCCGCGTTGGTGAAGGAACATTTGAAGCATATGGTCCCTACATACGTGCGCCCTTCGCTGGTGTTCGTCAAAGGCGAGGGCTCGTACCTGTGGGACTTGGAGAACCGAAGGTATCTCGACTTCACTGCTGGGATCGCCGTCAATGGACTGGGCCATTCCGACCCAGGCGTGGCCAGGATTCTCGCCGACCAGGTCAGCAGCTTCTTTCTCCATGACCGACTTTACCTGCAGCAGAGTCGCCAGTCGCCCCGAACTAGTCTGACTTACAATTGATAGGGTACGACGCTTCTACACACATCCAACCTCTACTTCAACCCCTGGACCGGCGCCTTGTCGCAACTGCTAGTTGAAAAGACGCTCGAGTCGGGCGCCATGCACGATGCCGCGACCGTATTCGTCTGCAACTCGGGCTCCGAAGCAAACGAGGCCGCCATCAAGTTCTCGCGCAAAGTCGGCAAGACCGTGGACCCAAGCAGATCGAAGCACGAGTTCGTCTCCTTCCACGGATCCTTCCACGGCCGAACGATGGGCAGTCTGTCCGCCACGCCGAACCCCAAATACCAAGAACCGTTCGCGCCGATGCTGCCGGGGTTCAAATACGGAACGTACAACGATGTCGAGGCTATCAATGAGCTGGTCACGGAGAAAACATGTGGTGTGATCATCGAGCCTATCCAGGGCGAGGGCGGCGTCAACGTGGCGACCGACGAGTTCTTGATCGCGCTGGCGAAGCGGTGCCGTGAGGTCGGTGCCGTCTTGGTGTACGACGAGATCCAATGCGGTCTGGCGCGCACAGGCAGCCTCTGGGCGCACGGCCACTTGCCCAAGGAGGCACATCCCGACATCATCACCACGGCCAAGGCTCTCGGAAACGGGTTCCCCATCGGTGCGACCATCGTGAACAACGCCGTCAACGAGAAGATCAAGGTCGGCGACCACGGCACGACCTTTGGCGGCAACCCGATGGCGTGTCGCCTGGCGCATTACGTCGTCTCGCGACTGGCGGACCCGAAGATGCAGGAGGAGGTTCTCTCCAAGTCCCAGCTTTTCAGGGAACGGTTTGATCGCATGCGCGAGCGGTTTCCCGACTTGATAAAGGAGGTTCGTGGTCGAGGTTTGATACTGGGCGTCCAGCTGACGCAGGATCCCGCGCCAATCATCAAGGCTGCGCGGGAGAGGGGACTGTTGATCATCACTTGCGGGACGAACACGTTGCGGTTCGTGCCTCCGTTGACTGTGAGTGAGGAGGAGATCAAGAGCGGCCTGGATATAGTAGAGGAGGTAATCGAAGCACAGTTTGCGTAGCCACATGAATTCAGGATTCATTAGCTGTGACGGGTTTGGTAGGCCATGTTCATCCCACCAGGGCTTGTCCTCGCGACCGTCCTGCACATGGCATCATTGTTCAAGCTTGTTCAGGGTTTGCATTCCCACGGCGTTTCGGGTTGTCAAAAGGGGAACTTTCATCTTTCCGGTTCTAGGTAGAACTGAGGAAGTAGACGATGAATTAAAAGTGCGTAGAGGGAAAACGAGGTGTCGCGTGTAAAGGAGCCCGGCTAACGGTTCTGCATGGGAGCCAGCCATATGACTGATTCCTTTTGGCATGTGGTGACAGCGATAGCTCCAACAAACAAACCTACAGCACTCTCCCTGTTTGCACTTAAGAGGCACTCTTGTCGGACTCTCCAAGAATCGTACGATATAACGCCTTCTTCACACACATCCATCGACGTAGACTCAACCGCCCGCCCATGGTGTTTGTTTCAGAGAAAGGAGGTACATAGGTACGTGACGAAAAGAAGAAGCAAGTACAATTTCGCATGGACTGCACCCAGCTCACTCAGGAGATACCATACCGTCTCGCAAGAGGAACGAACCAATGTAACCTATCCTCTCGCGGAAGCGCTTCTGCCGGGAGACTGACTGACTATATGGGGAGTTTTCGTCCGCAACGATTAAGACGCCCGCTCGTCCATGAGTCGAACATTGGCCGAACTTGATCTTGAACGGGGGGCAATGACCACCACCACTCCACAGGGGATTCGCATGAGCGAAGAAGGGCACTCACTCTACGGTACAGTGCTCCAGAACCCGACTGTTGACTCAAGATCCATCCGCCTCCTAGGTGTGGAACATGATGTTATCACCGGTAGGGACTGCTGTCCTAGCTGGGTGTCACTGCTGCCGCGAGCATTGGGGATGGCGAATGGTGGGCCATATTGTTCATAAAGCGTCTGTCTGGTTCGCGAGACGCGATATGAGGAAGGGGTCAGGTCGCTTTCTCGCATTGCAAGCTCCGGAGTGGGAAACCCGTGAAGGAGGGGGACGGTTGACGCGCGAGGAGAGGGAGGTCGGACGCGGAGGAGGAGGTAGCAGCTACATGTGCAGATAGAGCGCCCGTATGGGATGAACGGCTTGTCCGTATATCGTTGGGGCGTTGGTCCTATGGAAAGCTTCATCAATGGGCAGGAGCAGTATACGACTTACATCAGAACGTATGGCGGCACACACGAGGAATCTAGGCCACCTCAAGGACACATCACAGGCAATGAAGACACGAATCGACAGCAACTATTTTGTAAACGCAACTGAAAATCAATTCTAATTTCTCTAAACCATGCTACCTGAACTCCGTAGAAATTAACCACGCACGCAACTCAACAACATGACTTTTCCACGCTGCAGCGCTTCGCGGTACTGTACAACAAAAGGGTATGAACAAACGACCAGGGGTATATCCTAGGAATTTAGGTACGCAGACGTGGAGACAGACCCTCCCGGAGTAAGTGTGAACGACATGAGTCATGAATGACGCTTGGGGACTGGACTTTGAAACAAAACGGCGCGCCCTGCTGATGTTGGCTTGAAAGCATCGCGCCCGCCTCGCTCAATCGTGTAATATCCAAGACCCTCAAAGTCCAATTGTAAGCTTGCTTACAACGGAGCACATGAGAAAGCACCACGGACTGTGCCCTCCCTGTAGCCATCGGCCTGAGATGTAGTGTCAGCAGTGATTCATGCGAGGTTTGTATGGGGATAACTTACGATATCGGCAATACTCGAGTATGTTCCACCGACCAGGGTGATGATGCCGATGATGAAGACGAGCGCGTTGACAAGCGTCTTCAGGATGTTCTCCCGGGCGAAGACGCCGCCCTGTCGGATGAGCTTGAACCACATCATGGCGGGGAAGTAGAAGGTGAAGCCGGAGATGAACAGCGCCGAGGAGATGGACAGCAGATCCGAGAAGAAGGGGATGGCCTCGGCGATGATCCAGGCGATGATGGTGATGACCGTGATAAGTGCGAGCCAGGTAGCCCATCCCTTCTTGTCGTTGATGAAGCGGGTGACCGTGTCCTTGTAGACGCGACCGTGGATGTAGCGGCCGACGACGGTGGTGTTGATGGACCCCGAGATGAAGATGACGGGCAGGGCGATGCCGAAAGCGACCTTGGACACGAGGGGGCCGGCCGACAGCAGAGCGGGGGACTTGACTTCGGAACCGACGAAGGAGTAGATCAGGGCGCCGGTCAGGGTGTAGATGATGATCTCGATGATGCCGAGGGCCCAGATGGACTTGACGAAGTCCTTGGGGGTGTGCATCTCGTCCATGAAGGAGAACTGGCAGATGGCGAAGGAGTAGGCGAACACGATGTTGGTGATGGCGATGAATGCCTTGACAAAGGTGAGGTCCTCAGCCGGCCACGCGGACCAGTCGGCGGCGGTGCCAATGTCGCCTCGCTGGACACCGGTGGCAATGATGGTGATACCAATGGCGCAAATGATGGAGACGAAGTCGATGTAGCCCAGGATGGCGACCTCGGCGAAAGAGGGCGGAATGGCGAGGCACAGGAGAATGATGGCCGACACGACTCCGAAGGCGATGGAGCACGTGGCGTTGTCGGTGATGTTAAGGAAGGCAATGGTGCCGGTGAGGGTATGCGAACCGACGAGGAAGATCAACTGCATAGAGAACATGAATCCGACCAGCTCGTAGCCGAAGCGTCCCATTAACAGGCGACCGGCATCAGCATAGTGCTGCACTTCGGGGTACTTGAGTTTGACCTGGCCGACGACGTAGCTGGTGTAGATGGCGATGAGACCGAGACCGAGACTGAGAATGACGCCGGCGACCATGCCCAGCGTCGCGAAGGCGCCGGGCATACTCAGACTGCCGAGCGCAATGGCCTCGACAATCAGGACGACGGTGAGACGCTTCCATCCCAGGCGGTGGAAGTGCGAGCTGGCCTGTGCGGCGGCCGCCTTCTCCACGTCGTTGACATTGTGGACTTGGCCGACCATCTCGTTGTCATTGGTAGACGAGTCGGAGGAGAACGGCTGAGCCGACTGGAAGCCCTTCTGTTCCTTGGTGTCCATCATGTTGTCGTCGGTGGTGTCGTCGACGTGAAAGTGCTGCTGGAAATTGCAGATATAGGTTCGTCGCGGTCTCTGGGGAGGTGGAAGGTGGGAGACGGATACGATATGTAATAAACGAAGAGGGGTTGAAAAAGGTTTGACTAGGTCTGTACCGGTATCTCCCCAGATTTGGTTGACGAAAGTGTCAGTGTCTGATGAGTGTGTGATGGCTGGTGCTGCTGATCTCTGCTGGTCCGACTTTCTCTCTGCTAGTCGTCGTTGCGCCGAGTATTTATTACGTACAGCGCAGGCCGGTTCCCAGTTGCGCAGGATTAAGTTCCACCATTGAGGCAAATAATAGGGTGAACCCTTGGTGGCCTGTGTGGGTAAGGGAGGTAGGCTCGGTGGCCATTTTCGACTCCTACCGGTGGTCCCGACCGCTGTGAGCCTGTGACTGCTGTGAACCCCTTCGTGATGACGAACGATACAGGAGTAGTCGCCATCGTCGGTGTCGACATGCCGCGCCTGCTGATGGACCACGGTGGATGATTGTGCCACCTGTCCCGCAGCCGCTGTGGTGAGTGGTGCTGCTGCTTCCTTCGGGCGGGCCGTGCTATAGCGGGTACGGGGTTGAAGGGTTGAAGGGGTCACGGACTCGGTTCGGACCCTGTGGCAGCAGCTCGCAGATAGAGCGGTGTCGAGGTCGGGTGTTTGCGTGCGGCTCTTTACTTCAGCTTCTATTCCACAAACAAGCTTCGGTGTTCTAGGGTGATGCATCTGCCCAATCCCACCAATCTGCCCAGCCATCTCGCCCAGCTGACCAGCCTCGCCTGCCAAGTCGGGCTACCGAGATGCGGCACTGAGGCCACTGGGCGTGCTTGGCTAGTAACAGCCGACGGTGAAGTCATCAGCAACCCTGCCTGTGCCTGCCTAGCCGGGCCCTCCCGGTCACGACACTCGATCCCACTCCTTCGATGGGGCTTCTTGGGCTTCTAGAAAAAAGAACCGACCACCTCTCAAGTTCCTAGCATGCCTAGCTCCGTCTCGGGGAGCGCTATCCCTGGCCATACACGTATGACAGGGTCAAGCCGAGGTGGCGAGTCATTCTCATTGGACGCTTTCCCATATCCCAAACACGATAAGGCTAAGGACTAATTCCCCGCACAGGTGAGAATTTGGAGATAGTGGAATTTTATTTGTAAAAGTATAGATAAGGCCAAGCTATTATAGGTTAGGGACAGATATGACCTTCCCCCCAGACTAATAATATCCCGGAGTGCTTCTACCGGACGGGGCAGCGGGTGCACTCGGTCTCATTGGCCAATGGTTGCAGGTCTGAGGTCGGTCCTCGAGCCGCAGCGGCAACTACCCTCGCACCCTGAGGTCGACTCCAGCCTCAGACATTACCATCTTGCATTGGCCGAAGCATCGCCGCCTGTGAAAGAAGCTCATATCAAAGTCAAAGGCTCAACACTCGCGAAGCCGCCTTTCCAGACGATAAGAATACCGAACATGTGGGCACGTCTACGTGACTAACCACTGCGACGAGAGGTTGCGACAGCACTCCGATAACCAAGCAACCGAGCAACTGTTCCTGAGAGGCTGAGACCAACTCCCCTTCCCAATACTAGTACCGGCATCTCAAACACCGCTCGAAGCTACACTGGGTCCTACCAACGGCGCCATCCAAGTGGCATGATCTCCGTGGAGCACTCGGTGAACTATTGGAGAAGACAATGCGGGCGAAGCAGTCTGGCAGCCAAGGTTGGCCCAGCCAGCACCGGCGACGATATTGGTACCGTAGCCCTGTTGACTTCCGGTGAAGAGACAGGTGAAATACGACGGCAATAGTCGTGAGCGGAATAGGAGGTCTGGAGAGTTGACCACGAGACCTGTTGGGGAAACTCAAAACAACGTGCTGATAACCCGCTAGTTCGTAGCGGCGTCTATGGGACGGTGCCGGTAGCACGAGAACAGGACGAGAAGCCTCACCGAGAGTGGGACGTTGACGCGAACGCCAACGGTCTTGAACTTTGTTCGACCACAAGATCACTACCATGCGGTCCCGACACTTCAAGGATCTCTTATCATGCCACAAGAGCAAAACATACTTTTAACTTAACTTTCTGGACGACATGACAGAGAAGGCGGGGAAGCAAACGGGGGCTCGAGTGCAAATGCAATCGCTGACAGGATTCTGAATGTCTTGTTGAACATGCCACGCCACCTATCACGCGCTGGTGACGTCCTGGTCGTTCAGGCTGCAGCCCCGAGGCAGTGCAGAGGGCACAATACCAACTGTTCTGTTGATATCTTACGCTCCTTTTGAGTTTCGAATGCGAGCTATTCGAACGGGCACAATTCTCTCATCGTTTGGTAATTGGTCACAACACCGGTTGGCCCCCAAACATGCTGAAAATCATTTACCAGCGTGTTCCTTTTGCTCATCACCACCCCCTTTCTTGCTATCATGTGGGGGCACCGAATATGAGTCGTTGTACAAGTGCGATAATCCAAACATCCGACTCCTTCACCGCTTGGATGGGGTCCCTACCAAAATAGGCGAAAGCGTTCCGAGCAGTAAATGCTGTGCTGATATCAGTCAGAAGTCTCTGAAGAGTAGGTTGGTGAGCTTGGTCGACGGCCAAACACTCGCAGATCAACTCCCGGAGCTCCCCGTCCAGCCACGGAAAAGGCATGGTCGCCGGCGTCGTATCTGGCAACATGGCTGCGGCGTACGTCTCAACAGAGACTGTATTATCTTTATCAATCTTTTTAACGAAGGACTTCGTCTCGCCTACATCCAGTCCAAAATTCTCCACTGAGATGAGGTACTGCATGATCTTCACCACCCACTGTGAATTAGCAAGTGGACATCTTTACAGTCAATGCTTTGAGGGAGGAGAGTGAAAGAGATTCTGACCATGCCTATGGATCTCAAATTTTGTTCGGTGCCCTTGACCTTCAGACCTCTAATATTGGTCAGCATTGGATGAATGCATCGGTCGGTGTCCGGCGGATACGGAACGTGGTCAACTTACCCTTCTGTCTCCAGCTGGCCCTTACTGAGGCCGAAATAGATGATCTTGAGAACAGGGCTCAACTGATGTTCATCATGCTGCGCAATCAGATCCCCGACCAAGACTGCGTGTAGAGTTAGCCAAACACGTCTTTCTCGACGCCGCTCGGTACCCCGTCCGACTTACCGTTGTCCAGCGAAAGATCTGTATGCGTGGGGGCCCTATATTCACTGTCTCCAACACTGGCTCCTGGTCCAGACCTGCATCCATCGGGTAGGCCATTGCTATACAGGCCCGTACAACTGAAACCACAGGTTCCTGTCAGATCCGGATTCCTGATAGCTACTTGGGCTGACACTTACGGCAAAGAAACAGACGCCACAGCAACCGATTCGGGAGCGGCGTGTTCTCAGCGGCTACCTTCTCGATGAAGTCGCTCAGCGTCCCGTTGGCGATGTATTCGAGCACCAAGTACGGCCCGTAGAACCCCGGGGGCTCACCAGGATCGCTGGACGGAAAGGCAAGACCCCCTGCGCCCGGGGATGATTATGGCACTGCAAAGTACCGAAACTCGCTGGGCGGTGAGTGCATGTAATCGCTCGTAGTTGAGCTTGGTGTCGATGGTGGTGAGGGAGATCCAGGGGGGCTGCGAAGGCGCACCAGGGCTTTGTCGAGGGGGCTATCACGGATCGCCAGTTGCCGGACAACGTGGACGGCGCCTTGCAACCTCTACGCGTTGTTAATATGGACGCGAAAGAAGGATAAGTAGATAATGGCCAGGGTACATTACCCTCACGCGACCTATCTCAGCCTCCAGCGAAGGCTGGCCGTCCGCGATTGCGCGCTTGACGACGAAATTTCTCCATATACCTGCCGCGTTTGTTTGAATCAATTCATTGAGGCGAATGCATACGCCGTACCCGCCCGCGGCAACAGGATCGACCCATTGAAACCTATCTGGCTCTCGGTCGAAGTACTGTCTGATTTCGTCGACTTCTCTCCTATATGCGTCGTACGCTTAATTACTTCTGTCTGACCTGGACATGGCGTCATGGCGGCATTGTGAGCTTGAGAGGTCTGTATTAAGCCCAATGCCTAGAGCTTAGAGCTCAGAGCGAATCGAGTGGCTGTTTGCACAAGGCCTGGAGAACAAAGAGCGCGTGACAGTCGTGATGGTACAATACCGCTCTTGGGGCTCGAGGCTCCCAATCCGGGATGAGACATTTACGTCCTGAATTTTCGAAACAAAACAAAGAGAACCAGCTCGTCCAGAATCATATTGTCCATTCACTCAGCTCAAATCCAAGTTCTGTGCATTAACACTCCTTTGGAGCCGCGACTCAAGGGTCGTCACCAGCAAAGTCCGCAAACCCGGTAGGCTTCTACTCTCGCGAAGACCGATGCAGCGTTTTTTCAGAGAACCTCACAACGGCTGAGCTGTGCAATTCCTCCGTGCTTCTGCGTGAGATGCTATCGCCAGAGGGACCCTGGTGGTACTGTTCAAATGTACACAGGGCTTTCGATGGGGCCATTAGATTCGACGTTTCTCTCCCTATGCGCATGATAACTTTACTCGCGACATCGCGAAAACCTGGAGGGAAATTTCTCGCTTTGATGAAAGCCTGCGACACTGGCAATGGCGCCGGTGACTCTTTGTGTAGAAGCCAGGGGCTACCAACAAGGAGATACCAGCCCGGCAATAAGAATTACCAACCAACCAACCTAACTCTGGAGATGTGGCGAGTGTCATGTCCGATAGGCTCTTCTCGTGTTTGTTTCTCTTCAGAACCCATGCTTACAATGACTGCTCCGGAACAGCCACCCACGTAACACCGAGTCTGCTCGTCTCAAGCCTTCATGTTCTCCGATCGATGTCCTCCTATTGGCGCGGCAAAACCCGCGCCCTCAATCGAAGAGTTCACGAATACCTTCGTTATCTCATCAAAGTCGCGTTCAAAGGAGGCTCTTTTCGAGGTCCCAAAAGAATTAGCTATCGATCCGTCCAGGCAACGCCGCGCACACCAGAAATCGAGGGCAGGGTGCGAAAACTGCAAGAAGCGGCGTGTCAAGGTCCATTCTAGCCTTTCGTTTCCAATCGTTATCTCCTTTTGGGCTCATGTAAGCTGATGAGATAGTCCCGCAGTGCAATGAAAAAATACCTTGTACAAGATGTATCGAAAGAGGAGAACACTGTCAACGGCGCCTGCGGTGTATCGGATCAGCGATAACCTCAATTGCTCCATCCATGCCTGCTGTAAGCCCACTCTCTACGTCTGGAGCAAGCGACGCCGTGGTGAACCTCCTCCACTTCAAGCTCTTCCATCACTTCCAGACAAGCACCAGCCAGACTTTGCTGTTCGCACCCGACGTGTGGAATCATGCTTCCCAGCTCGGCTTCCAGTTCGAGTTCCTGATGAATGCAGTCCTCTGTGTCGCAGCGCGCCATCTTGCCTTCTTGCCGCCACGAGACCCGACGTATCCGACAGCTGCAGCGAGTCATCTGTTTCGTGCCTTGTCTGGATTCCGGCTTGCGCTTTCCGACGATCTCACTTCGTCTTGTCTCGACGCTTTCATCTTAACCTCGTTGCTACTACAGTTCGACATATGGTGTAGTACAGACTTATTATCGCCGTCAGCCCAGGGCGTGGTATCCTACGACCCGCAGAAGGACCAAATCTTTACATTCTGCTCAAGCTTGAAGCAAGTGTTCCTGAGGAGCATCCCAGTCTCTTCCGTCCAGGCCTCGGTGTGTATGCCGTATATACGGTGCAGCCCGATGGGCACACTCGCCCAAGCCGCCCAGATCAGCAACGACACAGCAGCTGCATTCCAGGAGCTCTTCTCCTACTGCCGACCACTCGCGCCCGAAATGCTTAGCAAACCCTTCCTCTACTCCCAAAGCACAAATGAGGCCGACATGCATGCGTTCTCGCCTCGTGTCCCGAAGACGCACGACGGGCTGGATCCAATAGAAGAAAGTTACGTGTCCGTACTTGACTGCCTCTGTCTCATCATGGCCTTTCTCCCCGAATCGCGACCAGAGAGCCTCATAGAGGACAAGTCGCCATTGCTTGAGAGCTTGGCAATATTCATTTTCTCGTTCCCGGTCATGTGCCGAGGACCATTCACGTCAATGATACAGCAGAGCGATCCGCATGTCCTGCTCTTGCTCTACCACTTCTATCGTGCCGCGAGGATACTACTCCCTTCGGGCCGGTACTGGTGGGCGTATAATCGGGCAATCCTGATGGAGACAACGCTGAAGGAATGGTTGGATAAGGAGTGTATTCAGCAAGCTGGTGCATAGTGCCCTCAGCCATGCTGCTGCTATCCGTCTATTACCTAGCATATGGCGTGAAAGAGGCACGGAGTTCGGCCTGTTGGCTGGCAGGTTGAGAGCTGACTAGGCCCGACCTCCCCCTACGGTGCTACCTCCGCTCCCGTAATCCTAACAAAATCCGCCACAACAAAATCCCAGACCTTCCCCGCCGTCCCATCCTTCCGGAACTTAGCCAGAACGCTCTCGACCTTGGGCGACGAACTCGCACCCTTCTGGTCAGTCGTATACACCCCACTGCCATCGCGCCCGTCGCTTCCACGAGCAACAGCCATGCTCCCATCGAGCGCCACACCCGCAGCGCCTGGCCCGTTCTGAGAGGCTGGGTACCTAGCGCTCGTGGCGAAGAACACGTGTCGTTCAGCACACTCGTCGGGTGAAGTCTCTATGAGAGGCGCCATAAGTTTCGTGACGGCTAGCATGATGCTCATCCCGAGGCTCGGCGCGATGTCCCGCATGATGCCGGACTTGACGACGCCTGGACAGGTAAGCACGAAGGCGACATCGGGCGCACGGCGGGCGGCCTCTTCGAGGAGCAGCGTCTTTTCCACAATTATGAGTTAGCATCATTACTATTGCTGATGTCGTTGGAAGTCGGATGGTAGATCCCTCGAGTAGGGTTGAAGGGGGAAGAAGGAAGGACCATATACGGACCTGGACGGATGCAAGCTGGTTGCGCCACTTCGTCAAGGGAAACCCAAGGCCGGGTACGTTATCCACGTCGATGGCACCTTCATAAGATGCCGCCCCGACGTTGACGACGCGGCGAAGGGACTTGGCCTTCTGCAGCAGGGGGAGGAGGTTCAGAATAAAGCGCATGCGGCCGTGCGTGGCGATGCCGAAAGCCAACGGCAGGCCTTCGGCTGTTTCTGTAGGGTCTCGTTGTCAGTGCTTTCAAAAGGAGCAGAAGTAGTGAAGTTCAGGACCGGATGTACATACTCTTGTCGAAGCCCATAGTCCCCTGACTCTGGAAGGGGATGTTGATCGCAGTCTCTCTGCTCCTGATCTGGCGGCAGACATCATCGATGGTGTTCAGCAGACTTACGTCCGCCTGGATGAACTCGAACTGGCCGCCGCTGTTGAGCTGCTGGCACTCCTGTATGATGGGGTCGGCGGCCTCCTGAGACCGTCCGATGATGTAGACGCGTGGGCTCGGAGCGTATTTGGCAAAGGCCTTGACCGTGTATTCGCCGACACCACTGGTGCCTCCCACGAAGACGGCCACCAGGCCTTCGGGGAGTGCGGCGGCGATGCGCTCGTTGGACGCGGTGGCTTGGGATACGGTAAACCTTGTGTTGGATTTTGTCTGGAGGAAAGCCATCCGGGCTCGAGAAGAGGTTGGTGGACCATCGTGCTTTTATATTGCTCAACGTTCAGCGTGAACACTAGTAGGTAAGTAAACTACCTCTCAGGTTCGGGAAGCGCAACAGAGTGCTCTACGGGGCTTCTGTCGTAAGTCCTAACTCCTTACTCTTTGTTGGCTATGATCATCTGGATCGAGCTAAGCCAAGTTGAGCGATACGAGCCCAAGGGGGAGTTGTTGGATTAAAGGTACGCCTAGAAGGCACCTTGACAGGTAGACAACGAAACCTAGTTGTTCCGTCCCGATCCAGCCCCCTCTGGCACAAAACAGCCACGGTCGCACAAGGACACTCTAGACAGACAGAATACACACATACACTTCACTCTTACCATTGGCTCAAAACTGACAGGAGTAGCCGAGCGGCGTGGGCGGGAGCAATGCAGGGGCCTGCATATCCCATTGGCCGACTGCGTATCGTAGCCCTTGCATGTCAGCCTGCGTAGCACTGTAATGTCCATCCTGATGTATTTTGTAGATGAGGTTTGAATTTATGATGCGAGCGACTCGGTCTACGCGAGACGGTGATTACTCGGCAGGCCACTCTGTGGCTGCGTAGAGCGCCCGTTCGGCAAGTTCAGACGGCCCGACGTGACCCGCGACATTAACGGTCTTTGCGGTGACATTCAGCGAACTCACGACGCTGACTACGATGGCGTTCTTATCTTCATCCTCAAACCACAGTGAACTCCCCGACGAACCTGGAGCTCCATATGCATCTGGCCAAAGGTCTGTATTTGGACCAGTCGTATACGTCTTCGGGCGCAGTGCCTTTGTACTCGTACGTGAAGGAGATGCCATCTTGATATACCGGGCCTCTTTTGCTCCATTATCTCAAAAGGATAAGCCACGTTGCGGAACGCGGGGTCCCCTACCCATTCGGTTTTGACGTTCGCGGCTACGCCCCTGTCATGTATGTGAGTCTCGTCCCAGTGTTTTCCCAGTATTAAGTGACATGATGAGTAAGAAGGTGCTGACTTGGTAGGCTCTACCGGGCTAAAAGAAGTCCCGATGAAGAGCGGTGCACGTTTTGATGGGTGGTCTCAATAGGGGTATGTGACTAGAACTTACATGTAACCGAAATTATCTCCTATGTTCCAATCCAGAACGAGGATTACCCAGTCGAAGAGTTCCCACCCATCCACATTGGGTGTATAGCGCTCGTCGTGATATGCTGCGACAACTTTCGTGGATCGTCCTTTAACTTTTTTGTCATAGAAAGATGGGTAGACCTTGCCCGTTGTGCCACAGTGCATAGCTGTTAAAGCTAGGCGTCGTCCAATGAGTGTCATGCTGCAACTTCTTTTGATGTGGAACCGTCCGCAGGCAGAATACGGATAACCGGAGTTCCAAGGGTCGATAATATAATCCTCCGGGTCCCTGCGTGATGGACCGGCTGGGTTGGGCTTGTTCTTGTTGTGGGGGTTTTTGTCGACGATGTTGACGCCCAAGTGATCCTTGTTTTTGTCAACCTTGTCGACAACCTTCTTGATAGCCTCGCTAGAGACTTCCTTCTTTGTTCCGTCCGGTAGTACAAGAATAAGGCTAGGGCCTTGTTTTGCTGCTTCCTCGAGATCGCTCTGAATGCCACTGCGTCTCAATTCTCGTACGCCATCGAACGTGTCCTGTATTTTCTCCCTCTATTGAAGCACGGCAGTACTTCCTAATCATAGCAGGAATGCGGCGATTATAGCAGGATGTTGGAGACAGACCATGATGGGAACAGCTGTCGGGGTATCCTATCTGAATGGTGTCGGCAATGAAAACAAGTATTTCGCTATTCTGTTCAACAAAAGACCGGGTTTTATGTATCTGATAGTAATATAGCCGCGCTGGTACTTAGATATCTAGATAACTGGAATAGTAGAGGATGCTGGACATTTATATGTAACGTTCGTTCCGCCATATCGCCACCGATTCTTGCGTACATTTCCCATAGACCTGCGTCTGCAAGGATGTTCGTACAATATCAGTTCTCTACATACGCCATAGGAGCGATCTTCGCTCGCACCTCAACCTTACGTGTATGGGTTCGTAGTGAGACTGATGATGTATAGTTCTAAGTATGGTGTTTCGGCGCCTGCTCCTATGCGGCGTCTGCTTGTTCCTACGCAGCGCCGCCTCCTACGACGCAGTGCCGCCTCCTACGACGCGGTGCCGCCTCCCACGCCGTGCCGCCTCCTACGCAGTGACGCAGCGCCGCTTCTAGGCGATCGATTTATTTTATGCTCAGGATCTTCAACAGAGGGAAGAGCTAAACCCAAATGCCTTGAAAACGTAACAAAAAGCCGAGCCCCCGTGCTGTACGCAGAATCTAACAGATTAAAACGTAAAACACCATGGCGTCCGCAGGCTCAGGCCGACGCGTCACACCCCGAGCGACATGCGTGTAAAGCGCGGTCATCCGTTTTTACAGAGTGATAAACCATCTGCCTGGCAAGATCTTGGATACGTAGAGTATCTACTCTAGAGCTGGGAGAGTCGAAGGGTGTGGGAAGGTAGGGGTTGAAGCTATCGCTAGACATCATCGACATACGGATAGCCCGATATTAAACTATGACCTTCTACATGCAATTCAAAGTTATTGCAAAGGCACGTGACCAGTTGACATGAGTTTAGTCATCCAATGCCGACGCTGGCCATGATGCGACGAGCATTCGTCTGTGCTTCTCTGCTTCTGTGCAGGAACGGTCCACCGAGCACAACTGTTCGATTGTTCCATCGACATGAACAGAAAATGGCGTGGCTGCGATCAGTGACCCGGGTAGCCCGCTGGCGAGCTCCCCCCACGGGTGTCTCTTCTTCTCTGCGACGCTTCGCCACAGCTTCCGACGTGAGAGACCAGGCCGCCGCCCAGCCTCGACCCGACAATCGAGTGAATATAGTAGAGGTTGGTCCAAGAGATGGCCTCCAGAACGAGAAGAAGACCATACCTCTCGCGACCAAGATTGAGTTGATTGAGAGGCTGGCGCAGACGGGACTGTCGTTCATCGAGGCTGGTTCGTTTGTCTCCCCAAAATGGGTGCCGCAGGTCGGTTCTTACCAAGAGCCCCGGGATTGTCTATGCATCGCTAACCACGCCGTACTGCAGATGGATAACTCCTCCGCCATCATGGAGCACCTCCTGACGAAAAATGTCATCTCGCCAGTCCCGATCACGTATTCATTCCTTGCGCCGAACGCGAAGGGCGTTGCCAATGCGACCGCTCTGCTACGGGATCACCAAGGCGCGTACATGACCCAAACCGAGTCTCTCGCAGGTGTGAACGGGAAGCCTGCAATGGAACTTGCCGTGTTCGCTGCCGCGACCGAAAGCTTCTCGAAGCGCAACCTGAACTGTGACATCGCCACCTCCCTCGAAAGATTCCGAGACGTGATACAAGGGGCAAAGCAGATTGGCATCAGAGCTAGGGCCTATATCTCGGTGGTTCTGGGGTGCCCCTTCGAAGGCTATGAGGTTGACCCTCATAAGGTGGCTGAGATTGCCACCTCACTGCTCGAGATGGGAGCAGATGAGATATCCCTGGGAGATACTACTGGAATGGGCACTGCACCCCGGACCCAGGAGCTTCTGAGGTGCATGGCGGCTGCTGGGATACGGAGCGAGGATATCGCCATGCACTTCCATGATACATATGGACAGGCCCTGGTCAACACGGCCGTCTCGTTAGAGCGCGGCGTCAGGACCTTCGACAGCGCCGTGGGCGGTCTCGGCGGGTGCCCCTACAGCCCCGGAGCTACTGGAAATGTAGCGACTGAGAACATGGTCTACTTTCTCGAGAGCCTGGGTATGGAGACTGGTGTTGACCTTGACGCGATGGCGGATATAGGTCAGTGGATCACTGGCGAGCTGGACAAGCCGAACGATTCTGCTGTAGGAAAAGCTGTGTTGGGAGCACGTCAAAGTGCGGCGTCCGCTAGCCCTTGAAGTACGTAGATACCTACGCAAACTGTATATGATTGTATCTGAAGCGATGCCGCAGTATACGGGCATTATTCGTCAACCGTGTCAACAGTTCACTTGGGGCTTCCACGACCGAGCTGGCTTTGTTGTGTCCCCTGCTGCAGACTGGTGTTTACCGACAACAAGTGCGATGAGGTTTGCAGTTATTCCCCTGGAGACGCGATTCGGCCTCGGGAAGCGAGTAACAATGTGCAGCACAATACCCTTTGTACCTCACACCTGCACCACACCCCATTGTGGTGAACAATGCCTTTGTGTCCCCGACTTCCTTCACCCATCATTCCTAGGGAGCGCCATTGTGTGCCTAATCAATGAGGTTGTTCAGGAGCAGGCATACCTAAGGGGTGGCATATATAATGTTCGGACACCAGAGAAGGTGATGACCGAAGTCTCTAGAAGACGCCACAACATTCATCAACCAAGTCTGTAGAAGATACCACAATACTCATCACGAATACATCCTCACAATGCCAGCCTTCTGCTGCCTGGACAAGGCAGTCCTGTCTCGCCCTCGAGTATTCGACGCCGAGCCACCGAACCACGGTCGACAAGCGTGGGCACAAGTCGTCTCTGCCTTTCTCATCTGCTTTTGCACACTCGGTCTCGGCAACTCTTTTGGCGTCTTCCAGGGATACTTCGCGCAGTCCCTTCTCCTGTCTCACTCGCCGTCTGCCATCTCGTGGATCGGCACTGTCCAAGGCTTCTTCCTCAGCATCGTCGGGATTCTTAGTGGGGCTCTCTACGACAAAGGATATATCAGGTCTCTTGTCTACACGGGGGCGGCGCTCAGCGTAGCCGGTCTCGTCGCCACAAGCTTTTCATCTGAGTACACATCGATATTCGTGTCGTTTGGCTTCATTGTCGGTCTCGGATGTGGTGCTATCTACATACCCGCCCTTGCCATCTTAGGGGCCTACTTCACTACCCGTCTCCCTGTCGCTAACGCAATCGCTACCACTGGCTCCAGCATGGGTGGGGTCCTATATCCCATCCTCTTCCGCTCACTGATCGACAGCGTGGGCTTTCCATGGACCTGCCGCATCTTCGCTTTCATCAACGGGGCCCTGCTGCTCGTCTCCTGTCTCCTCATCCGACCTCGTCGTGCCGAACCAGTGGTAGAGGAAGAGCTCAAGCCGACGAAATCAACGCTACACCAATTTCTCCATCTTTTCAAAGCTCTGGCAGACTTGAAGTTCTTGGCTTTCAGCCTCTGTCTCTTCCTGCTTATGATGGGAATCGACGTGCCCTTCTTCTACCTTTCCACCATCGCCCAAAAGAAGCTCGGGTTGTCCCCTCAGATAGGCGACTACCTGCTGTCTGGCCTGAATGCGTCCTCGCTATTCGGCCGGCTTGTGCTTGGTCTTCTCGCCGACTATACAGATTCTCTCCACGTGTGGCAATTCTCAACCCTCGGCACTACGACACTGCTGTTCTCGTTCGGCACCATCAGCAGTCTGGCGACTATCATCGTGTTCGCGGTGTTCTATGGTGTCTTTACCGGCGGCCTCATGACGCTGGTTTCCCCCGTCCTGCGAATCATCTCACCCGACCCTCGTACTTTCGGCTCGAATCTCGGCTTGGCCGAAGGTTTCATGGGACTAGGCATCTTGGTCGGGTCTCCTGTCGCTGGTGCGATTTCGGAAACTGCTGGTGGTTTTCTGGCCGTTGGCATCTTCTTCGGCAGCCTGTATGTTGTCGTTTTCGTCGTAATCGGGATTTTCATCTGGAAAAATCAGTGGAAGACAGGTGAGTCGAGTGGAAGTGGCGCTCACGTTGAGCTGTCTACTAATGGAAGTGTAGCTAATGAAGACGTCCCCTCGGATGGGGCCTTCGTCACTGTCGCGTCGATGGTTCCGGGTCACTTGCCCACTGTCGCGTCGATGGTTACGGCACACTTGCCCCAAACAGCCACACAGAGCGATTAGCGCAACTGAGTATAAACATCCATCTGAACCTTCTAGCCGTCTAAAATTTGATATTTTCCTCATTGACCCATTATATGTACAAAGCTGGTGAAAGAATCAAAGAACTTGATCACATCTGACTTCAAATTTTACCATGATGAGATACGTGACTGTAACCATTACCTAAGGATCGTGATTTGGTGGATCAGGGTTATGTATTGTACGGTCATATTCTACCTTTATGATATGGCATGTTAGGTGGTTCATGTGTACCCAGGACGGTACTCTTATTAAAGAATCCTAATTGGTACGTCGTATGTATGTTAACGGCGCATCCCAATCACGTCCTGTTCTGTCGGATCTTGGTCAGTACGCCAAGTTGCTTTGACTGAAGTCATTGTGTAGGCCGTGCAGTCCGTGTAACCTGGTATAGCTGTTGGTTGCCTGTAGCTCTGCCAAGACAGGCTTTTCATAGAGTCAATGAATGTACAAAGAACACATCTTGAACAACAATGTAAGGGCAACCATCCCGTTGTTTACTAACACTCTTGTAAGCTAAGCTCTACTTTTTGACAAGTTTAAATAGTTGCGAAATCCTTTCATGATGTAAAGCATTGTCATTGTACTCAGGCTTTGACAATGGGTTAGCCACAAAGCCTCTTTTGGATTGTATGGTAAAGACTACCACCCAGACGAAGCACAATTCCTTTGCTCGGACTTCAGAGGCAGGGTTGCTGATCGTAGCTTCAGCAAAAGGATCGATACGCACACCCTGGTCAACCTCACGAAGGCCTCTTTGACGCAATGCATGAGGAAAACAACGCCCTTTCAGCAAGGTACTCTCAAATAGCTAGGTTGATGCTGGATGCCCAGATACCGCGGAGTATAAAGCCACCGCAGTCCCTCATGGTCAGTCTCCCATCACTCAAGCTCCCACCACCAACACACCACACTCTACACTTGCACCTCTTTTTCCACTTTTCAACAGCATATCAGACTCACTCAACAACATATTAGCAAACTCCCCCCAACTTCATCAAGATGTCTGCCGATGGATGAACTTGCTGCAAATGCGGTCGCCAGACCTCGTGCAGGGAGGACTACTGCTCCAGATGTTCGCACATGAATTGCGGAAGCTGCACGGGCGGCCCCGAACTTCACCAATACGTCTGCCGATTGATGGATCTGCTGCGAATGCGGTCGCATTAACTCGACGAGGGATAGCTACTGCTTCAAATATGAGCACTTGGCCCCCAGTTACGTTCAGCCTCAGATCGGGGATATGCCCACCCGAAAGACGTTGTAAGATAGAACCTCTGACCTAGATCAATTTCATCATTAGACCCATACTATCGTTGCTTGAAATCGACTGCGTGACTTAAAATGTGGATGTCTCAAGTCGAGGCTATGTTCGAAATCGAAGTCTCTTGTTGTTTATTGGTTATCGGACAGGCCTCTTCGTAGTTTATGGTACGATCCATGATGTTGTCGGCCTCGCGGTATCTTCTTCAGGCCAAATATCGAACCAACCCAGAGTCTCCGACTTCTTTTTGTCTCAATGGCCGACACAGGATACAAATTGAGTTGCTGGAGTGAATATGTGGTAATACCAGGCGCCAATGATGTACAGCGACAGCAAGTATGAAAGTCAAGGGATGTCGGTCAGAAAAGGGTGTGGCTCCTCAACCCATTTTCCAGCCACAATGACGGATGGGTCACGGACCAGGATACAAGGTACCTTGGAGCCCAACGGGTACCCGTTTGTACCAGATTCGTACCCAATTGGGATGATAGCTACTTCTGGGATGGGGACACTACCCATCCCTTCTTTCAATCAAGCAACTTCCAGAATACAGACCAATAGCCACCTATCGTGACCCTGGTCCTTATTCTGGATACCGCTACCACAAGGCACTGTGGATCCAGTGCATGGACCCATATGGAGTATTCTGGTAACCCCACCAGATATGTTGGAGGTTACCTGATGAAGGCTGCCTGGCAACAGGTACCTCACCACTGTAATTTAGGTATTTAGATACATCTCGGATGGAATCCTTTCCATCCGACCTTTTAATCAAGCACCACCCAGACCACTGATAGATTACAACAAGACTTGTGATTTGTCAGCATCTGGGAAAGCTACCAAAAGGTACAGCATAAGGGAAGCGCGATAACACTTATAGCCTCACTTATTGCATAATAAGTAGTTACCAAACCTAGGTATGTGAGTAAAGAAACTCTCGCCTTAACCCCTAACCCGCTCCTGCAATATTGAACCCGCGGAGACCATGATTACATGTAACCGCCCAGTACTCTTTCTTCACACTTAATAAGACCTGACCTCTCGTCGTATATCCATCGGAAGCACTGCTTTTTCACTCGGAAGATCGCGCTCGACTTGCACGCATGACCATATTCAAGACGAGCCAGGGTATTGCGTCACATCCTCGCTGTCGGCTCTCCACCGAAAGCTACTGTCATTCCATCTGGAGCGGCACCGGATGTGAGCTGTTCCATCGCATCTCATTCAGGTCAGCATGCCAGAACAGGGCAGGAGTCACTGGCTGGACCGATACGGAGCTGGGTACCACTCTTGGGCGGAAACAGATGAGGGATTCTCCAGACGCTGCGGACTCGTCGAGGCTGGCTTTGATTCTGACGGTCGCTACTATGAAGGCAGGGCCGATATGAGCGCTCTCCTGAGTCTTGGTGTTTTGACACAGCTACCACGCGAAAGGCTTCATCGCCATGTTCTTCTAGCCTTCACTCTGCTACGTTTACACCACCCGTTGCTGCGAGCCAAAGCAGAGCTCTGTTCTCTTGGAGTTGAGCCATACTTCTCGGTGACGGTGCTTGCTACCGCCAAAGACGCATTCAATGAGGCTGCTTCGGCTTTAACTTTCATGGAAGAAGATGGCCACCATGAGATCGACATGGACGACTTCTATATGCACGCACAAAACACTGCTAGGGTTATCATTGAAGACCATGCCATGGCTCGAGCATTCGTTCTGCCGGAGGAGTCTTCGCATGGCAACCGCCGTCTACTACGGGTCTTGTTCGTTATGGCGCATCAGATCGCGGACGGTCTGTCTTGTCGGAATTGGATGAGCAGCTTGGTCAAGATACTCAACATACCCTCCAAGCAGATCGAGGACCAAATCAGCATCGCTATCTCCCCCGAAATCACCCGCAATTATCTCCCTCCAGCCCAAGAAGACATATACCCACCAATCAGTGGATCGAAGGCCCGACAGCGATGGTACTGGACCTTGACCATTGTCTTGCGACACGTCCGGAAGCCCATGCCGACCGCATTCCCCAACCCACTGAGAAGAGTCACAGCACTGTCCGAGGCGAAGCCAATACCGCAAACGTACCCGACAGCCTTTGACTATTCCAGGAGTCCTCCACTGAACACGTCTTTTGTTACGGCTGTTTTATCGAAGAATGCTACAAAGCGGCTTCATCGCCTCTCACGGGAAGCCGGTGCTAGCATTGGTGCTGGCTGCTTTGTGCTGGTCGCAATGTCAATGATGTCACTTCACGAAGCACGCTATCCCGAAGAGCCTGACGAAGAACGCCGCCCCTTCATAGGCAGTTTTCCCCTGAACCCGAGACCGTTCATTGGTACCACAAGCCAAGACAGTGTCATGTTGGCTTTCAGCGAGGGCATAGTGCTTCCATTCCTCCCTTCTCACCTGGATCTCGAGGGCAGGTTTCGGTTACTGGTCCGGCAGGCATCCAAACAGCTATCTGTCTATCAGAAGCGCAAGAGTCACCAGAACGCCGCAGATCAAGTGGCATCTATGGGCAGCGGTGGGATCGGCCGACTCATAGCGTCAAATTATATAGATGCGATCGAGAAGCTGCGGGCAAAGCTTCCACCCAATCTGCAAGACACCGTACAGTCACCGAAGGGGAAGTACAAAGTCCCCGGTTACAGGATTACGCGGGCCACTTGTGGTGTTAGCAGCGTTGGCCGCGTCTCCTGGTCTGACGCGCAGTTCGACCTCGATACAGACCCCGACGATGGAGTTATTGCGAGTGTCGAGGCTTTCCGATCGGGAGTGCGGGCCCGAGGGGGTGAATTTCTCGTGTCGATAGCGGGTGAAGGAGATGTTATCCGTGCGAATGTCAGCTTTAATGGCAATGCGATCGATAAAGAACAAGCCCCTGACTGGGTTAGGAAGATGGAATCGATGCTGGAGCCCGATCAAGACCTGTAGCCCCATGGTCACTAAGCAAGTTTGGGACTTGAACTCGGTGTGGGCTTATTTATAGCCAAAAAGGATCGTCACCTTACGCGTTCTATTCCCAGGTCCCACGCATGTCAACGTCCCAGCCCACCGCCGCCGTCGCTACCTCAGCGTCTTTGACAGGATTCCGTGACATTTAACCACCACCAGTGGCGGGTCAAAGCAAGTAAGCTCAGCAATGCATCACCCAATAGTTTCTCCTACCGCTTCCTCCAAACCAAGGATGCTCGCTCTGGGTGCAGCATCTGCAGCAACAAGACAGGGCCCGAGTCTGTCCTGATAAGATCCAAGACCCTTTCCCGAGCAGCACCAATGCTCTCACCCTCAGCCGTGGCGGGATCTACCCGCTGCTCTGCAAACAGCACCGCCATCATCGCCACGAACTCGACCTGGGAGAACTTCCTCCCGGGACAGTCACGTGCGCCCTCGGACCAGCCGATGAAAGCCCCATGGGTGTGCAGGTCCAGATGCTCGTCGCCTGGCTCGCCTGGTACGATCCAGCGTGACGGCTTCCAGTCCAGAGAATCTGGCCCCCAGTATCTGGGATCCGTCTGCACGGCGCCGTAGCTCGGAGCGATCATGCTCTACGGTGGGAGCACGACACTCTTTCCGCCAACATCAAGCGTCTGCGGCTGGGCGGCGGTCCATTTGATGACGGGCACCGGAGTATAGAGGCGCATGGTCTCGAACAGGACAGCCAGACATCTCTTGAAGCGCGGAAAGTCGGTGCGGTAGTCCAAGTCTTGCGGGCTTCTGTCTCCCAAGACGCTTCGGATCTCGGCAGAGAGCCAATTCTGGACTTTTGGGTGCGCTGCCAGGAAGTAAAGGGCGAATGTGAAGGTGTTGGCTGTGGTGTCGTGGCCGGCGAAGTTGAACGCGAACATGTTGCCGTATATTTCGGCCTCGGTGAGGCCTGATGAGGTCTTTTCTTCGTTTTGGGAGGCGCGTACTAGGAGGGTCATGAGGTTGGCATCGGTGGTTCTTTCTCGGCGCTGCGGTGTATCGTGTCAGTAACCTATCATATCGCATCTTCAACATGAGGCTGCGATTCGAAAACCACTCACATTGCGCGCTTCTCATCCTCATAGAGGTTCGTCATGTACGTCCTGAAATAAGCCCATGCCTCGTGGACGGTGCGCAGTTTCCGGGGCAGCCATGAATTGGCTAAGAAGTCACTACCTAACGCAAGAATAAGGACGCAGTTCTCTAATATTGTCTGCAGAGGCTCCTTGTAGTTTACGGAAGGGCTGACACTGGCCTGTCTGTCGTCGTGCCCCTGGAACTTGAACGATTTGCCAAAGCCTGCCCTAGAAAGCACGTGGAGGGACAGTGTGCGCAGGTCCTGGGCCGCAGACCTGATGGAGGTCTTGGTGGTCCAGTAACGAAGCATATCAGTAGCCAAGTTGATAGTTTCCGACCATACGATCTCGTTGTTCTGCTCGTTGAAGCAGCGAGTCGCGATTCGTCGCTGTGTTTTCCATCGCTGGCCTTCTGCCTAACGAGGTGACGACATCCCAGTCAGTCCATGTAGACGAATACCACGTAATTAAACACTATACTCACAGTGGCTATGTTCGGTCCAAAGACATTGAGAACCTCTGCATCCGCTCAAAGTCAGCTGTTATTCGGCGGTTGATCGAAGGAGTCAAGGAAAGAAGCGATGGAATACACGAACCCGAAACGAAAACCGGCCGAGGGAAATCCGCGCCTCTCCGGAAAACCGCCATGAGAGGATCCGGGTCATTGATGTAAACCCAGTTCTTGAAAGGCGTCACCAAGACCCAGATATCGCCTATCTCAAGATGAGATCGATACCTGTCCTCGATCTCCCATCCACGCCAGTTGTACCTGGTGAAGCTGTTGTCGCCAAAGGGGAGACGACGGAATAATGGCAGCACTCTTCTATCGAGGAGAACCCAGAATGGGTTGAGTGGACTGATCGGTATGAGTCGTATGAGGACGCCGATGGTGCGGGCTGCTGCGTAGTTTCGGGAGAGGCGTATGCTTGTGTCGACCGCCCATGCGGTCGCCAGCAGGAGAGGGGCGGCTGCCAATAGTAGGAGCCAACTCATAGTTGGTCATGAGCATATGCTCGATACTTCAATGAGGTTGGCTAAAGACAAAGACAAGAAGGGGAAAAGAACTGCTGATAGAGACGACCGAGGGCAGGAGAGCGGCGCAGCTGTAATGCCAACAGAGTGCCAACAGAATCATCCCTGGTTGCTGCAGGGGGCGTTGCACGAATACTGCGTCCGAACCAAACTCCTGGGTCGACATAGTCGCAACTTGACTGCTTATCAAACGGAGGTGCATTGAACCCGCGGCAGTCTCCGTACACCCTTCGTTGACCAAATGAAAGGTGTATTTATTACAAATGGAATAGATAGGCTAGAATAAGTAGAAGGTAGTCTCACGCCATGACAACCCTTGTCCGCTCTTCCAGTAGGTTGAGCGTCAGTTGCTCAAGACCATACTCTTGCCACCTTTGATCTTGCAGAGCCCAAGCCACCCCTCCAGACGGATAGCGCACTTCTTCGTAGTTAGACCCAAAATAATTGGTCTCCGCGATGATGCGGTAGTAAAAGTTGGCTTCAGGCGTTGGATCGCATCGTACTTTGGGAGGTGATCCATGCGGAACACGCTCTCGAGATGCTCTGAAAGACGTGGATCAGGACGCTTGGAAGTGGTTTTCGTGGGCACTGCTTCCGAACCACTGTCCCTGAGTTGGAAGACGACTTCAGCCTTTTTCAGCATCGGCTCATTGTCACCATACACTCACAGACTTTCACATACCTGCGATTCCAGAAGCCACGATAGCGCTGATGAGTCCACAGTCGTCCGTACCGATGCCTGGCATCAGAAATGAAGCATTAGCACGGCATCTCTTGCGTCAAAAACCACGGCCGAGCGTTGACTCACCACCGACGTTTTGATTGCGTAGCAGCTTGCATACGCTGTACGCCGTGGTCCGCCGGTAACAGTGTACACAACTCTGCTGTTACTCGACCAGATAGCTGTCACGATATTGTTGATCGCCGGACAATCGTCACATCGGAAAATGTCGGGTGTATCGGGCTTGGGCGAGGTGCAGACAACCAGATTGGCATTGGGCATTGGGCAGCGGGCCAGCCCCAATGGCGGAGATGAGAAGTAGAGCCGTCTTGGCTTGCATGATTGCAAGATTGAGAAGGAGTGTAGAAACGATGAGTCGAGTATGAGACAATAAATGGCGAAATGTTACCCAAGAGGAGATTTGTACATACATGCCCATGCGGGGTGCGTTGTTTGCGTTGAAGGGGTCCTGGGGAGTCACCTGTCAACTTGATAACCCTGCTGCCCGCTCAAGCCGCCTCTTCTTGGAGAAGCTAATTGTTGAAAGCAAATGATACCAAAAGAAGAAAACCCATGCACAGCTTATTGTTAGGAAGCCCGCAAGCACCGCGGCAATCGATTCCAGTGAGAATTCCGTGCAGAACCTCTGAAAAGAGGAGTGGCTCAACCAATCCGTCGCAAGACCAACTTGCATTGCCGAGAGTACGATGTTGAAGTAGACGAAGACGGTCAGAAGCCAGCCGAAATTGTTCCGGAGAAAAGCCGCGTGGCATGTCGACAGACTCATGAAACCATGGACCGTCCTTCTAATGGACCAATCCGAAAGCAAGAGATAACGTGTAATAGAATTCAGCCGAGACAGGCGCAGCTCGCCATAGTGATATCGACGATCCACTTCACAGCCGGGTTGCCCGATATGGCTTACGACACTGGCTGCGAACGCTCTCCAGGTAGGCCAAGATACTCCGTTGGGAATTAAGTAAGATGCACAGGCGAGCTCGAAATCGCTTCTGTGTCGTAGGAGCCATACATACGACAAGAGCAGACCGCATGCACTACGGTGTAAAGACCGCGACTCGGTGCAGACATGATGACGCCAGAATTCGTGGCTGAGCAGGAAATCAGGAAGTGGTTTGATGAAAATGCCGCCCTGATGCCAGACCAAATGCTCGTCGGCTCGCTCGGTCAGCCATATAGCTCGCCCGAGCATACGCTGGCGTTGGAGAGGTCGGCACGGGGTCGGGAGGCCTGCTAGCCATAGGTGGTGATGGAGTCGGTCGAGTTTCGGAGTCGAAAACTTTGCGACAAAGAAAGCAGGTATGTCATCTTCTGGTAGAATTATGGACGTGAGCGTTTGCTGGAAAGCAGCTGGGAGGACGATCCCCGATAGCGGTTCGATGCTCGCGTCTTTGGTAAAAGGAGGCTTGAGAGGGGTCTCGGACCCGCCCTATACCAACATCAGCTGACTTGGTCGAGAGGCACCACTCGTGATGGTATACCTCGACAGTGTGGATTACATGTTGACCGGTTCCTGGCGACATAGGCATGCTTTTTTGACGATCTGCTCAACGAACGCCCCTGAAGACTTGCTTGGACTGGCTGCGGGGTAGGTGCGTCGGTCTGCCAGCCTGGCGGTCATACAATGAGCTTCGTGTGACAATCAGGCCTGCAGCTGCGCTGGTCAGGGCTGATGGGATGAAATATCTAGATTCAACAATATCTAAGGAAGAAGAGACAAGGTCGGAAGAGAGAGGGGAATGTTTGTTTGTTTGTTTTGTATTTAACGTGGGGGGTAGCTCCTCAGTAGTGCAAACCACGCCTCCCAGAGCCATTGCATCGCAAGGTTGTAGAGGTGTCAAATTAGATACATTCAGATCCGCGCACGAGCCTATCCTCGCTGTAGCGGTACCAATCTGGAGTGTTCAGATGGTTTTAGTCAATATCCAAGCACGATTCCGTCAGAAAAACCTCCTGCCTAGTGACAAAGCGACCCAGTGAACCTCAGTTCTCTGGTGTACATATCGTTCCAGTAGCCGTTCGATATATGTCGCATTGGTGGGTGGAGGAGTAGGTGTTTGTTATCTGCTGGCGAGGGAAACCACAAGGGGGAAAACCTCGCAGGAGTGGGTATTATGGAGACAAGCTGCTTGGCTATCAGGCTCTGCGATAATGGGGCCTCTCCACTGTCATGTGCTGGTTGTCGACTCGCACAAGCCGGGTCAGAAAGGGGGCCATAGCAGGATTCGAACCCACTTGTTCTCGTCGCCCACCGCACAAACGAGAACACAACCAGGCGCATTTGACCATTGCGCCATACGGCCAAAAGAGATAGGGGAAGCTAGGAGTATCTATGTACATAAATGTGGAGGTATCATGTAATACCGTAACACTTCGAGTATTATGGAAATGGAAAGATCTCTAGATCGCGGTAATTGCAGGCTTGGATGAAGAGAGCAACTTCTATATCACTAGACTCTCGTACATAGCAAGACGTAAGGATGTTTAGAAACAGTAACACATGCGCAATGAGATCCATTCACTCTTGCAATGAACGAAGCGCCCCTGACTGCACAATCCAACAATGGTGACTGGACGGATCATACACTCCAACTTCCCTTTCCAGGTCCCATTCGTACGAGGCGGTACCGTCCAAGCTCTGCTTGCATGCGGCCGCAACTGCAGGGCTTCCCCTAAGGCAGAAATCTAAAAGTTGCACACCGACGGAGTGGCAGTGATTGGAATGGTCCTCCACGTGTTCTGAAAAATTTCCCTCGCGAAAGTAGCCAATCGCGAGAGCATCCAGCACACCCTCAAGCATATGACCAGGTACCCCATTCAGTCAGTCTCTGAATACCTAGCCTGCTGGATGAAAATGTGCACTTTGTTGTCGTACTCAGTTGTCGATGCATTCATGTCATCCTCGTATTTGATCCAGCTCCTTGACACTCACACAATCGATGAACACTGGCGGTTCGACAAAGGACGACGTGTCGTGGGAACTGCAATAGAAGGGAGTTCCCACGGAGGCACTCTAGATCGCCTAGAAGCCTTCGTACACTTAATGCTTCTTGGCAAGCTGGCTATGGACGGCGGCTTACGCTCAAGAAAGGGGCTGTGGTGCACAGCCCGGAGCTGCGTAGCCTTCTGGTTCCTGGATTCCGAGAGCAAGCATGCCACGCCCCAGTCTAGTGGCTTAACGGACGCATGAAACACGCTTCATCTCCGACGCCTCCCCCTTTTCAGTAAATTCGGCTACTCTCCCAAGCTTCTTGAACCTTGATAAACTCCGCCTTGCCCCCGCAGGTAGCTTGTCTCCCACATGCGCAATATCACTTCGCCATTCACCTTCCTTCTGCTCTCATCCTACAGACTGCTATCGCTTCTTTGGACACCCGCCGCTACTCGTTGAATGATGGCGAGCCGTCCTAAGTCAATGCACGAGAAGAAGACTACGAAGTTCCTCACTTACCGCATCGAGGAAATCCCCGCCCGCTACAGCGATGGAGAGCAGTTGAAACAGGCATTTCACAGCGACGACAAAGCAGACATACATGTTAAATCATTCGTTCCCAGCATTTCTGATCCCCAGAGCGATAAGCGTCATACTGCAACTGTCCAGTTCCGGAAAGCCGGCGTGCCTCGCCTGGACCCTGGCCATGAGGACATAGAGCTTGATGTGTTGTTTGAAGGCTTCACTCCTCTTAATAACCCTGGAGAGAATGTTGCGGCAGAGTAAGCTCATCGTCTGTTCCGGACTGGCTTGGCCTAACACGTATTTAGTATCATTGCCGTGACCGGTCTAGCAGGACATGCCTTCGGCTCTTGGGTCAACAAGAAAGGCGACATGTGGCTTCGTGATTACCTACCCGGAGATCTGCAAGGCTGTGCGAGGATCCTCGTATACGGTTATCCCTCTGGCCTTCAAGGCAGCGCCAGCACAAGCTCAATTTCCCAGTACAGTGAGCGCTTCATGCAGGACTTGATGGACGTCCGACGCGCGCAAATCATACAGAACCGACCCATCGTGTTCATTGGACACAGTCTAGGAGGCTTGATCGTCAAGAAATCTCTCGCGGAACTCAAGCCGGAAATTCTGTCAAGACTTCCCGTACGCGCGATACTGTTCTTCGGCACACCTCATAACGGACTCAATATTAAAGCCCTCCAGACCATAGTGGTTGGCCAGCCCAACGAAGGCCTGGTTCGGGATTTGGGCGAAGGATCGACAGTCCTCCCCGATATTTCCAAGAGATTCAAAGATGTTGCGACAAGTATGAAGATATATTCTTTCGCCGAGCTACATAAGACCCCTGTGCCTTCTGGCAGGGGCCCAGAATACCATGTTACGATGACTAGTATTCTGGATGTTCTGCTTGCTGTCTAGAAGGATGGGAGCTTGTCCCATCCGAAATGTCTCTTTAGTCTAGATACAGTGCAAACGGTACCTTGTCCCTTAGGCAACAATCCGGCCCAACCGACAAGACACCTGACAGCTGGAATCAGCTGGATCCACACCCCCGTGATTGAGGAAGTTGAGAAGGGGGTATGGAAAAGAGGAGAACAGACCGAAATGATGGTCAAGATACAATCGGCCGAGCTGGGCTGCGAAACCGAGACAGTACGATACGTCAACGACAACCACACTGAAATGGTCAAAATACGCCGAGGCAAAGGGACCGAATACCCTCACATCGTCGCTATACTCAAGGAAGCTTTGCAGAGCGCACCAGAGAAGTGGGATGGAATCAAGCAAAGGGAATCCACGAGCATTGGGTCAACGGCAGTGGCTGAAGAGCGACTCGATGAAACTAGACACCCTGAGCTGTCTGAAGACTGCAATCGTCCAATCCAAGGGCCAAGAAGGCGTTCAGAAGCATTTCAACCTGCAAGACAAGGAGTCGCCGTGACAGCTGGAAGCTCTTCGTTGGATCATAGCTCTTACGTGCCGGGCCGCCTAGGGATGGGGCAAGTCGAAGACCCGGAGACGAACACGGAGACGAACCGCCGGATCCCGGACCCAAGGGTGCGGAGAGGGATGTACGAACGAGCTTTATACCTGCAAAGCTTACAAAGGCTCCAAGAAGCTGAGATGATTGCAAGGGAGCTTCTAAACTACTGCGGTAGCCAGGCAGCTTGCAATGATCCCGGTCGTCTCGACGTCCTGGAGCTACTTGCCGAAACCCTCGAAGGCCAGAACAAGATCCAGGACGCAGAGCACTACTACCGACTCCTCGCCAGTTCTCCTATGGAGGAACACAATGGAAACTTTGCGGATAGCACCTTCGAACTGCAATCCACCTTGGCCGAATTCCTCTTGAGGCCAAATCCGGTACCTGAAGCCGAGGCCATCTACAGGGGCATGCACCATCAGATGCTAGAGGCGTATGGGCCAGACCATATGGATACCGTTGACTGTCGAATGGACTTGGCTAGATGTGTTTACAAGAACGGCAACTGCGCTGAAGCCATCCATCTGCTTGAAGCAAGCCTCAACTCGTTTACCAGGATGGCCAACGAGAGCAGCCCCGAAAGCCTGGAAGCCATGCAGCTCCTTGCTGAAGTTCATGGCAGCGTAGGCAACCATGCGCGATCTGAGGCCTTGCTGCGCAACTTGATCAACCTGATGAGCGCCCATGGCTTTGAGGGTAGGCCAGGAGTCGATGTCTTGAAAGCTCGCAAAGCTCTAGCGCTGGCTGTCGGGAAGCAAGGCAAACACATGGATGCATGCGCCATGCGCGAGACGGTCCTGGCTGGAGTCCGGGAATTCAACTTCCTGACGTTGAAGCAGAGTTCTCTGAGTGTGCCTCAGCTTCTTTGTTGCATTGGAAGAGAGCTAGGTTGTGTCCCCGACCGCCTTATCGAAGCCACGGAGAGGCTTGAGCAAGCTCTGCAGCATGCACATTACGGTCAAGTGCATGACGACTACACGCATATTGAGACCCTCTACTGCCTCGGGCAAGTGTATAAGAGTAGGGGATTACTGGATCATGCAGAGGACTGGTTGATTCAAGCGCTGGAGGTCTCTGACAATGAGCGAAAGGGGGCACTTTGCAGCTCTATCCAATTGGAGCTCGCAGCAGTCCAGCTCAACTCAGGGCAGCCACAGAGAGCAGTACTGACATGCCGAGCGGCCATGGAAGCATTAAGTCGCGAACGGTCTTTGCAGGGGTTGATCCGCGCGAATTGGTACCTTGCCCAGAGTTACCTTCAGCTTCACGATACTTCCAACGCCGAGCGTACTTTGCGGCAACTCTACGACCTCCAACGGAAGAACTACCACCTGGCTCCCCTCAGACACTCGAAACAGGCAATCTGCTTGTGAAAGTTTTCGAAGACTCGGGAAACTTCTGCGACGCGGCCGCGATACGAGCAAGGACGATGCCACAAGCAATGGCCCCCCCGCAGCCGTCACCATTACCCAATGGTCATATTCCGATGCAGACTCAGAGACCACACGGGCGGAGTTTTTCAGAGAAGTGTGATCTGCCCACAACCAAGCCCTCCAAGGAGGCTCTCGAAGATCTTGACGATATCCTTGACCGAGTTAGTGTAACTTACACTCCCATCCAGCAAAAGCCAGACTTCCAGGCGCTGGAATGCAAACTGAAGGACCAGACTTTCCGGCTCACTGCCCAAGCGACGCAAGAGAAAGTCGCGCTCGAGTTCACCTCACAGTCTCCTGCGCCACTGAAGCAGCTTTCGCACAGCATTCAGCGGCTGCTGGCGCCTACACTCGTCTATGCTCGAGTTGCCGCCATATTCCCTTTGGATGACGACGCTGAGTATCGGGAGCTCATAAGGACTACAGAGGGTATCCTGTCTAAGCAAGGCATCAATTTCGAACGCAAGCAAAGTACCGCGGAACATGCTCTTCACGTGTGTGAGGCGACGAAGAAAAGAATGTTTAAGAGCAACACGAAATCGCACTTCCACGTGACACACGAAGTGGTGCCGGTGCAGGAGTTGGTCGTCGAAGTGGCCTTGGTTTGGGTTGCAGGAGACCAGGACCTGTTCAAGACAACATCACATGAGATCATGAAGGCGGTGCGGGGGGACGAGAACGCGTACGATGACGACGATGATGGCGACTATGAGGGCACGGACGATGGTAGCGATGACGACGAAATCGATGGGCCCGGAGACGGGCCACGGTTTGATCATGGCCCATACCACGACTGGGAAGCGAATATGCCATGATTCCTTTGACACCTTTTCCTTTTATCGCGTATTGTCAGGATGTGTGGTGGGCCAGTCGGCCATCGGAATTGGATGGCTCGAGCAGGTACCCCTGGAGGTCCAGATGAGTGTACTTAGATGTGGATTCCATTATAGCTAGCCGTCTTAAACCTGTTCTAATATATCGAGTTCCCTATGCAAACCTTAAGACACCCATCATACGCCAGCAAGAGGCCCAACACCAACAAGCCCAAGCAGCTCCGTCAAGAGACCCGCAACCAAGAACAAAAGCCCACCAACAATAAGTCCCAGCGCCGCAACGAGGGCCGCGATGCCCAAAGCCAGCGGCGTCACGTAGATCAGAAGACGAACTGTCCATCTCGTCAGCATGCCATGAACCATAATTCATCAAAGTACCACAAGCGAGTAACATAAACATACCGAGACCAAGCTTAGAGATAGCAAGCTTGATAGTAGCGATAACCTCAGCAATAATCGCGTTGATCTTGTCGGCGATGCACTGCGCATCACACGTCGTCTGGCGACTAGCCAGAGCGGCGCGCTTCGTAGCATTCGACTGCGTCGCCGTGATGCCGGACTGTGCCGCCGCCACGAGAGCGGTTATGGCGTCGAAGAGGGGGCCGATCTCGGCGGCAGCGGCGGCGGACTCCTGCTCGGTTGCGTTCGTGGGGACGGCGATAACCGTCTCGTCTACTCGTTGTTAGCCGGTCTTGCTTTACTTGACTACCTCCTGCTGGCTTGCTGTGTGTGTGTGTGTGTGTGTGTGTGTGAACTCACTGATCTTGGCCGTGTTCTCCTGAATCTGGGAAAACAGCGTGTCGAGCGTGGCTCCGATATCGTCGGTGCTTTCCTGGCGTGCCTCGAGGCCGCTGTCGATAGCCACGGGATTGGCGACGGTGCTGGCCAGGAAGCCGCCGAAGGCCAAAAAGGTGAAAAAGGTGAAAAAGGAGGACTTCATCTTGAGGGTCTTGAGGCTGGATCTCTATGTATCTCGGGAAGGGTTGTACAGGGAGACTTCAGACTTCGAGAGAGCAAGATGGCGCGGCTGCTTCGAGAATCATCTCAAGTTCCCAACAAGGCCAGCTCGGGAACCTTTAAGCTTTTCATCGTCCTTCGGCGTCGTAATGCCCCCCTTGCCATTATCGTGCCTGTTCCCCTATCGAGCTCTCTCCCTTGGCGACGGTCGTCGTCATGTCCGGCTCTGAGGTCACGCCCGTGGTGGATCTCATATCCGAGTGCCGGGGCTGAGCCAGGACCTGGACAGCAACACGGCTGGTCAAAAAACCAAGTTTCTACTTTTCAACAACTTGCTCAAGATTCCTACAACCACTCGTCGGAGCCACGACTTGTGCTTATGTCATTTCTGGCAGAGCCTCTCGCCCAGTGGGGCTTCCGGCGCATGACGATCCCATCTTGATCGGTATACGAGATCGCGGCGACGACAGGGGAGCCGCACGCCTCGCCGAGTCGCAGGGTTCCTTAGTTGTCGAGTTGATATGCGGTCCGTGCCCCCACGATTCATGACGTCGTCTTCAATAGTAAAGCGAAGTTGCCAATTCCCTATCTTTCATGCGTGGCTGCATAGTGACTTTAGGGTTAACGACATCAACTTTGAACTACTCACTCGATCTAGCAGTCCCAAGTGATCTCATACTACGTACTGGGAATGTTGCTCAGGGATGTCCGAGGTAATAGCCGCGTCGCCTCATACTGCTCGCATCTTAAGTACTTGACGCGACACGTGCGACTCGGACTACGGTAGTTGAGTAAAGTTGAAGAGGAAGACAGCTGCACCTTAGACACAACGTATTTAGCCCATATGACAATCGCAGTGCCATTGGAGCATCTCTGAGCCAAGGGAGTGAGTAGTCCTATCTCGTTAAACAAAACGCCAAGATTTCACCACCAGCGTTGATAAAGCTCGTTGTTCCTGAGAGGAAGGGTATCGTCGCAGAAGGAGTCGCCTCCAGGGGACCGTATTACGACCGGACGATGCTATGAACGAGCGTACCATACGGCAAGTTGCGAGGGAGCTCATATATGCCCGGGCAAAGCTCCCTATTAGAGTAGCGAACCTAAGTCAAGGGATACATTCGAATCGAACCACAGCAGACTAAACGATGAGTCAGGTCAATATACCCAATGAACGGCTTCCATGTATAAGTAACCTGACAGGCGGGCTCGGGAAATAATCTTCCATGGCCCACCGTGAGGTATGGAAGTGAGAGTTTCGCCTGGCTTAGCACCTTGGTTGAGATGGAAATAAATATTTTCAAAAATACTGACAGAAAGCGCTTGCAATACTGCCTTGATTGATATAAAGAAAAGCAGATGTTATTGATGTTGTCATCGAGAAATGGACGAGAAAAAATTAAGGGTAGGGTGGCTGATTGGGCTATGGAAGGTTATTTCCCGAGCCTGCCTGCCTGATCTCATGACTTCTTTAAGCAGGATATTATGCTATGCCACATGCTTTTACCCCGACAACGCTATGTAAACCTCATCCTCATTGCTTCAACACAAAATCGTATCGCAGGGCCTTCGCCTAATACATCACGAATCTGCTATCCTGTTCCCCTTTTTGAAAGCATCCCCACCCCCTTACTCACCACCAACAACCAGCATCAGCCCATCCCCAATGATTCCACACCGCTCAACTCACTTCTCCCGCCTAAACTGCGACGTATTCGGCTCCTAACCGAACCGTATCCCGCTGTTCGGATCCCAGGTCCCACTGGGTTTCTTACCGCCCTGCGGAGCACCCACACCTGCACTAGGCCCGGCAGCAGGCGGCGTGCCGGCAAACTTGATTGGCATATCCTGATTCCAAATAGCTTGCATGGGGTTCGCGCGTGGCTGTTGCGGCTGAGGGGCCACGGTCTCGCCGGCGGGCGCCCAGGACTGGATCTGTGCCTCGGCCGGACTGTGGACCTGCTTGCGTGATGGTGGCGCCGCCGCTGGCTGGTTACCGAAGTACGAGTTAGATGCCTGCGGCTGGGGTGGTGGAGGCTGGTGCTGATGTTGATGCTGGGGAGGTGACTGATAGCTGGACGCGCCGTTCCAACCCCCAGCCGATGCCGGCAACGGCTGCGCTTGGCCCTGCTGCCCCAGACTGAGGTTGTTTAAAGGCGGCATGCTCAGCTCGTCCTCAAGCATACGTGCCTCACGCCTCCTCTCCGTCACGAACGTCCTTGCGCCGTCCCGGAAACCACCAACGATGCGGCTCAAGTCGTTATAGAATTTCCGGCCGACCTCCACGTTGCTGATGAGCTCCTTGTACTTATAGTACGCATTCTCGAGCTTCTGTAGAGCCTGCTCTCTTTCCCGATTACCCTTGTCGCCCATCATCTTCTTTTGGCTCTCGAATTCGCGATTCACCCGTATCAAATCCGAGATGAGCTTCTCCTGGTCCGCACCCTCCTTCTGCACTAGTTCAAGGTCCGGTTCATACAGCGAATCCAGGCGTTTCTCGAAGAAGTCTTCGAAATGTGCGGGAACGATGGCGGTGGCTACAGCATGACTACGCTCAAGTCGCGCTGCCTCGGCTAGGATGTCCGATTTGATGTCGTCACCCTTCGCCTTTTCGCGCAAGGCCTCGGCTTTCCTGCGGCGGCGGCTCTCGAGACGTGTCACGTCATTGTAAGCACTGCGTAAGCGGCCGATAGCGGGTTTGAGCGACTCTGGAATCTCAGTGCGGCGCGATGAAGGCACGAAGTCCATCATACCACGATCTGACCCGGCAAGGATTGCCAGGGTAGGCTCGATGCTGTAATACTTTTCACGCACAACACCATCGCTGCTGGCACTGTTCCCAAACCAGCCTTCAGCCTCAGCAACTTGATTCCAGAGCTTCACGCCTTGGTTTGGCTCGTTCCGACTCTCCGGGCGGGACCATCGATCCGTCCCGAATCTTCGGCGAAAACGTACATCCTCCTCTTCCTCAGCCTGCAGCAACTCCTTGCCTTCTTCAAACAGGGCGATATCGGCAGCGCGCAACTTGTCGATATCGGCGAAGCTTCTTTGCAGACGATGTATGGCATCCGCCTGGCGGATCTCCTCGGCGTGTTGCACGAGAGTACCAGGCAGACCCAGTGGTTTCTCAAAGGCCTGTATCGAGCTGGGAAGGTTGAGTGACGAGAGGATTTCGTGTATCCTCTCGTTCAACGTCTCGAGCTCGGCGATGATAGTCTGATTCACCAATCGGTCTCTGCGCTCCTCGTATATAGAGACGGCAATGTGTACTGAATAAGGAACCAGCTTGGTAAACTGTGCAGGTCCGAACTCGCCATCGTCGCCCACGAAGTCCAAGGGCGCCGAAACCTGACGCGGTACTCGAGCGATTGCCATGTTAGCACGCTCGAGGATTTTAAGCTCGGACTTGGGCGGGACTGGGTCTGTAGTAGTGTCTGTTAGCAAGGCGTGCCAACTCAATATTCCAAATGTTTTGGAACATACTCAGGTATATCACGTCATTGTCCCTTTCTGCTCGCTTCAAGTCCTCTTCGACTCTTCTCTTTAAAACGTTCAGAGCCTCAACCACGGTCTTGTGCAGGTAGCCACCCTTACTCTCTCTAAGGCCTTCGCCAACACAAGCAACGGCATCTTTCAGCCTCGCAACCTCTTCGCCGTATTTCCGTTTTTCCAAGCAGTCGCAAGCTGCGCGATACTGGGCGGCGGCGGCAAAGTGGTGATGCTTGGCACTCATGTGGTGGATCCAGCTACTGCTAATAGCCTCGGACCGCATGGCAGCCTCACCGGCCAGGTTGTACAGGTCTGACACCCTGGCGGCCAACTTGGCGATGGATGCGTCTTTGTAGCCGTCCATAGCGGCTTTTTGCCAGAAGCATTCCTGGCCCTGCGCCAGCTGTAGCTGTATCAGAGAGTCGAGGGTGTGCTCGTCCATGTCATCGGGGGGAGTGGTCCGCATCTCGGGTATGATTTCGTTCTTCAGGTGGGTGAGGACGCCCGCGGAATGGCTGAAGTAGCTCGCGGCCGTCTTGAGTCCAACGGTGTCGGCGCGGTTGCTGCCGATGGCGAGGTGTGAGTACAACGCCGCCAGGTTGTAGAGAATATTGGCAAGTTCGAACTGGAGGTTGTTGTGGACGATGGGCCGTTCGATGTTGTAGCCAAGCGCAGGGTACCAGGTGAAGTCGGCGCCGATCTGTTCACAGAAGTCACACTTAACTTCACCTCCTTCACAACCAATGTAGTAGGCATACATACATCTATGGGAAACTTGGCACTGATCCACACGAGCTGGCCGGCATAGGCCTGCAGCATGCGCACACCGCTGGGATGGGGCTCGCGCACGTTGACGGCGTCGCGTCGCAGGGCCTCGATGACGTCCAGGTCCTGGCGGAACATGTCGGGATGCTGGTCATACTTGGTCGAGATGTACTGTCGCACGGCTGAGGATAGCGACAGCTGTGTCCCCTTGCGGAAGGGCACCGCGAGGATGCTGTTCTGCATGGCCATGGCGGGGTACCTATCTGTCGTGTCTGATCTCTGATACGCGACGAGGCTATCGAATATGGCATACTAGGAAGGATCTGGGAGCTGTTCTGTTCTGCTTGGGCGACGTCGAGCTTCGTCGCAGCTTGCGGTACTTCAGTGGTTGTAGATTATGAAGTGGTGGTGAAGTGAATGGGCAGAGAGGGTTCGAACAATGACTGCCATTCATCCCGCTCTTGCCGCTCTCCGGGGAGGGCAAGGTGGGCGGTGGAGGGCCGCCTGAGATTGGCTGGAATCCAATACCTAATCGTCTACACTTGGCGGGGTAAACGCGCAGTCCTGTTCAATGTTGGTACCCGAATATACACGCCTATTCTCCCCTCGACTCGTACATTCGACTCGTCCTCAGTAAGAAACACGGGGCATAGATTTTGGGAACATTCTTAAGTATTCGGGCTCTTTTAGATAGCACTGCGTCTGTATGGGGTTGCGAGTAAGCTGCCAGGTGGCTAGGACGACCACACACAAATCTTGCTGTCTAAATTGTCGCATGTCCATTTCCTACCTAGAGTCACGATGTAAGGTATAGGGTTTTCACGTTCAATGTCGAGATTTGATGTCAAGGTTGATTTCATTGATTATCCTGCCTACTCAAATATGTACAATCGCAGGCCCCAAACCCTCGCAATCCTCAACACGAGCACTTCGATACCGAGGTGGGTTTGTCCTCCAAGCAGCACATCTCCGTCCACGTGTCAACCCATCTCTCGCCCGACCAACCGGTGCATGTCGAGCCAGGTAAAACCTTCCTTCATCCAGAGGTCGCCCGACCCTGGGCTGTTCATCTCAGAATAGGCCCGGTTCATGTGTCCTCCCAGTGGCCCCCTAACAAAGAAAACGAATCAAAAGCCAAAGAAACAATTCTATCCCAACAACGCCTTTTCAAAGTGGCTCATCTATAATACAGAAGAGAGCCCCCGAATAGGATGCCGCGTGCGTCAAGCGCTATCGGATATCTCAGGCAGTATACGTCGTATTGACAGAGGCATAAGTAGACAAGATGTGATGGTGTAGATGCTTCGTGCGTCGGGTGCTGCTGTCACCAACCGAACGCCGCGTTCGTCCAAGCTCAGCCATTCGAAAGGAAGACGATCGGGTCGGCAAAGGGCAGGTATATCGTAATGTGCTGCCGAGCCGGTCGTGAAGCAGGTGATGACGGCATGACAGGCTCGACTGACGGAGATGGATGGAGAATATTATGCATTATCGTTGATCTTGGGGCGGGGGTGCCGGGGGGGCAGACGCAGTGTTCAGTGAGAGGGCAGGGCAAAACAGGATCAAAAGGGACGCAACCCGGCCGGTCAACCGGAAGGCCATCGCCGGCTGGCTATGTTGCCGCGCATGGAACCGTGCCACACCTCAGCTGACCCAGACGGCCTATTCAGCCGAAAGTCTTGACTGGTCCTGTGATAGGCGCTTACCCAGGCAATTTAGGCTGGGCCAGGTATGATAGCAAGGTAGTCGTTTATCGGCAACAGTATTTCGTAAGCCGAGGTTATCAATAACATGTCAAGGCCGGGGCAGTATCCAATCCCGAGTATCCTGAAGGCGAGCCGTAAAACCCCAAACGTCACCCTTCTTACACCATCGAGGGACGCTAGATCTTCATGACCTTCGATGAATAGGAGCCACGCGAGGCTTCTCATGGAAGCCAGACGAGCTCGATGATACCGTCGACCTGAGACATGGGCTGATCGTCCCGGTCTACCCATCTCCAGTCATTGGCCTTGCGCACGTAGATCTGGCTAAGACTGTTGTCCTCGTTCACCGTCGCTTGTTGAAGGTCCCAGCTGATCTTACGTCCGGTCTTGAGCAGACTCGGTCGTTGGGGGTCGAAGACGTAGTCCAGGTTCCAGCCCTTGTCCTGCGGCGCGGCAGCGAAAGTTCGCTCCATCTGGTCAAGATTGAAGTTGATGCCCTGGGGATAATGCGCCACACTGAAACCTGCTGAGATGATAAATCCGTCTGCAGTCTGGAATCGCTGCATCGTGCAGTCCTCACCACAGATGTGGGCGATCTTGGTGTATTCCCAGGGAAGGGCGTTGTGCCACCCGCCACCCTTGAAGTGGTGCAGGGAGATGGGCTTGATACCCGACTCGTAGAAGCCCGAAGGGTCGCCGTATAGGTCCAGCTGGTAAAGACCTCTCAAAATCGACAATCGAACATCCGTGTTTTCGTAGATGCACTTGCGGAGGAGGATGTCTCCCTGTGGACCCCATCCCGAGTTGGACTCGTGGATCTTCTCGTCCGTCTTGCAGCTCTCGTAGTCGTTGGTAATCTGTTCGGCCATGGGCACTGAGAGGAACACGCCGGCACCACCAAAGGCCTGCGATCCGTGGCGGTCGGCGTTGTTAACGTCTTCCGACAAGACGCCAATGTAGAGCATCTCGTTCGAGTCGTAGGTGTCCATCTTCTTGGTCAACGCATGCACATTCGGGAAGAATGTATCGTCGTCACACGAGACTAACCACTTCTTATTCCGGCGTTCGGGGTGGTTGTACAACGTGGGGATTAGCGTGAGGTAACGGACAGCCATCTCCATGGAGGAATCCGAGTGGTACACGTCCGCGTCAATCCCGTTATGGTGCAAGACTGTCTTGGCATGAACGATCTGCTCCTCGGTCGCATCCAGGAGCAGGAGGATCAGCTTGGCTCCATTCGAGTTTCCCTTGCCATCAGTCATCCAGTATGTCCACTCATCGACAGGAGTTGTCTTGTCGCCGCTGAATCTTTTGAAGGTGGTCGAGACACCAAACATGAAGTCGGACAAGTTACCGGTGGCAGGATAAGGTGATTCGGGCACAGGGACCTGAAGCGCTTCGGTGCATTTCTCGGACCCATAGCTGCTGGGGGTTTGTAGGTCGACAGATTTGAAAGTATTGGGGAGGAATTCCTGAGACAGCTTGGTGATCGACTTCCGAGCAATGGGCATTCGGTTGATCTTGACATAGCGTTTGAGGTACTGGAATCCGTCTTGAAGCTCATACGCCGCCTGCAGCTCTTGCATGTAGGTCGTGTTGACGCTGCAGTCCATCTTGTGGCTCGAAACTGGTACGATATCCTTCTCGCCAGCCTGGGGGGTATCCCCCAACGGCTCCTGCAACGTGCTCCCTTTGTGATGTGTCGCGGCGGCTTTGATGATCTGGGTGCCAACATCCTCTATTCGGTCGGACTTCCAAGTTACTGCCAGAAGCATCAACAGCGCGACCGCGAAGAGAATGCATCTCGAGAACGGATTCCGCATGCTAAAGAATCTTTGATGCGAAGATGGCATTTTCGCTCCCATCGTCATCGAGGTGATAGCTTGCCAGGGGAGAGCGAGCGTTTCCTTGACTCCAGGTTGTACGTCCGCTGCGGCGATGGACACGGAGTCACGGATGGTTGTTCGGTATAGTATGTCGTTCTCAAGGGGCGTCGTCGTTTCAATGGCGGGCATACGGCGCGGCATTCGACTATGGTAGGGAGATGATTGTTCTGGAGCGAGGGCGATGATGGATTGATGGCCTCGCAAGCGAGTGTAACGAGCGACACCTCAATGATAAGGAGGAGGATCCGATAAAAAGACAGCAAGAGCACTCGGCGAGGCTGACTTGGCAGAGCGTATTTGATGGTGTAGCCAGGAAGGATTGGCAAAGGATTGAGGGAGAACAGAGAAAACGAAAGCGGGAGACGAGTTACAAAGAAGGGTGGAGGGAGTCAGGGACGCCCAGCAGCGGGTACGAAAAGGAGGGATTGGGAAAAGGACAAGTGGGTTCAAGTTCAATTGGGTGAGGGAAAGGGCACAGTGCAGGTACGCAGCCAGGTACATGCACAATATTGATGTGTATATTCCATATCGATGTTAGCTCTGCAGTAGTATGCAGTAGGTGCTAGCCGAGCCGGGCCACACCACGACGCCGCTCGGTGTCTCCTACTGTACTAGTAATAACAGCACGGCGTGCCTCCATGAGACTGTTGTCACTTGGTGCTAGCACAACACGGTGGGAAATGCGAAAAGGGAAGAGGGAAGAGGGAAGAAGTCATTCCCATCGCTAATCACACGCAGCTCAGGTTCCGCAGGTGCCTGACGGCCTGAGACAATATTCACTGCAAACAACAAGGCTCGAAGGGCCTGAACAGTGAATGGGGTATGTAGTGGAGATAACTGTGATTGTAATGGTTGCGAAATCGGAACAGACTGATAGGGGGATCGACAAATTGGGGTTACAGGGGCTTGTATTAGGTGGACGAGCGCAACTACATTACCCTGCACGTACAGTACACGCACAGTGTAGTGGTATAGAACAATTATGCACTGTGCACACTTGTACCTGCGCCTCCAAATCTGGCCGTACATCCAGCCACCAGAACGTGCTCAGCTCTCGCTCCTTCAATTGAGCAATTTGAGTGGGATGGCAGGATGGCAGCAATTTGAGTGGGATGGCAGGATGGCAGCAATTTGAGTGGGATGGCAGGATGGCAATGGGGAACCCCTTGGGGGAGGCAAAGGGGGCGGGTAGGCGGGGACCAAAGCGAGTGGAAACGAAGACGTTGATGCCGATCAAAAGCGGTGACTGGGCCAATCAGGGCGTGCAATCGAGCCCTCCTCCAGGCTCGGACGAAGCGGGATGGAGAAGCATTTCCAATCTGGTTGGTGGGCATTTCCCGGTCTAAGTACCGTGTCAGGAGCGGCATAGTATTGTTGGTGTTGCTCGTCCAGTGCTGCTGGACAGCTGATTCGGGGATCCAACATTGCGTAATCAGGGCAAGGACGCATCCCGAATCGGTATGGCACCGTGAAGCCTGGAAGAGGCAATCACTTGTCATGATGATGTCTGAAGACGGCTGTTTGCCAACGGTTCATCCCAAAGTCATAACAGTTGCCCAGCACCTCCCCTACCCAGGCAGTGCATTGTTCCCAGTCAGCATTATCGCCCCCTTTACGAATAAGTCTAGAAGGTTACGCGCGTCCACTACACCACCATCAGCTTACATATGTAGCTAGAGCGCCACGCTACGGTAAGCACCTTAAAATATCAAGTTGTCAAAGTCAAAACACGAGACGGTCAAAACACGAGACGGCCCCAAAGTGCTAGTGGCCTTTCTAGATGTACCTAAATTCAATTATTAGAGTCGGGCACGTCTAGACCACCAGCCATGAGCAGTTCCTAGGAAGGGCCTGCTAAGCCACAGTCAACACTTCATCTGTCAATCAATCCGAATCAGTGAATCACACCCGCCATTCCCGCGCAAGATTGGAATTGTGGGCATAGACGTTGTCATTTGAGGTCCAGACCTAGGCGCCACTACAGTACCTCGCGACAGTTGCTCCATGTTTCATTGATTCCATGCCATGGCTTTGCTTGCTCCGAGGCCTACAGTATTGTTATCGACGACGTCATTCGAGTATGCGTAAATCTGCAGGATGAACAAATCTTCCCTTCGAATAGCGTGTTCGATTCAATGTTTTGAATTGGCGTGGTAAGCACCCATTCAGGGGATCCTCACAGTGTAAGTGACATTGTTCCCGCGTGCATGCGGGAAGCGTACTAACAAGGTTTGCGGCTGGGGAGGGGCGGCACCAAATCTACATACCTTACTAGTCATAATACTAGATAAGACAACCGCCGCAAGTCGTCACAGACAGACTCACCTTGGAGTTTGTTTCTGCTGAGACTTCCAGCCTCGCCAGGGAACGACACCACGCATCCCATTCTCCCTCGTTTATTGTTATCTGCGCAGATCTGACAAGTTCGAACTGCTCAATTATGCCCATCGCCCTGGCCTATCTGCCTCTCCGACCGTCCTGACGACGGAATTGACGGAATTTGCTTGCGCATGCGGCAATCTCGAATTATCGCGGCGGGCCCATCTCCCGGGGATTTTTCCTTGGCAGCTGCACCTCATCTGCGGCAACATCCACGGCTAAATAAATGAACTCGCAATGTCATGGTCTATGGTCCGGGAGGCTCTCCTGATTGGTCCACATTGAACAGAATTTCGAAATATCGAGGAAGATTTGCCCGAAGATAGATGCGCCGACCGATGACCATCTTCACCGGCACGTCGCCCGTAATCTCTTGACGACAGCGCAATGCCGACATCTTCCCGGCGGTTCTGATTCATGGCGTTTCTGCACGAGTCGGTCGGCCGGACATGCAACATGTCGTGAGTGAAGGTCGGGCTTTCTAGTGCAGGACCTACTTGAATCGGCTCAAGGACAAGCCAGACGGCGGCGCCCGTCACCATTCCCATCGCGTCAGAATACTATTTTATAGTACAAGCGGCCTAGCCGAACTTAAATGTTAAAATGGCATGAACCTCGTGTCAAGCACGCCGGACATAGATGATCGGCCTCGAAAGAATTGCAAGCGCTGTTTCGTAGTAATAACAACTCTGACAACTGCGAAGGTTCGGACATTCATCAAATGACTGTTGTCATCCCTGAAAGTTATCTCAACTTGGAAGTTGTCAAAACCTTTGTTCTTGTGGATAGGGGCCACGCGGTGACAGGCTGACAGCACACTTCCCGTCCGCCCGGCGGGATTGGCACATTTTCCCTTCCAATTCTTCCATTGCCTTGGCCGGCACCTTTTAGCTCCGGAGCCTCACCCTGGCCTATTCCCTGTTCTCAACCCAAAACCCACCAAGATCGTCCCTCCTCAGATATATTCCCCGGCCTATAACCTGGGAGCTCACCGTACTTCGTCACTATTGTTAGACTGTCCAACCGTGCAACATGGGTGCGAATAAGAGAATACACTCCGAATCCCCCTATCGTTGTAGCCTTCCGTTTGGGGCAGGTTATCGGCAAGACGACAGCGTGGGCGCTTCGGCTACCAGCGCAGGCGTTAAATTGAAACAGCGCCATACGCATCACTGCGCAGGGCAGCCAGGCACAGCCGCCGTAGCGAACGAATCACACAATCAACACACTTGCTGATCGCTGACCAGGCTTCGGCGAGGTGTCAAGGTGTATGGGTCTTTTGGCTGCCGCCCTCCCTCGTTACGAGTCGCAGTGTCCGAGTTGTCTAACTGAAACGAGATGACTCCGCGTGGCAGCCCGAGAGGGGCGTTGGTCGATCGTCCCCACGGGCGACGGTCCTCCGCGAATTGACGATTCCTTCCGAATCCTCGGCTGCAGCGCCATTCGACGACCTATTTGGCTGAGTATAATAACTCAATGTGGACAGTTACGGCACAGTCCTTACTAATAAGGTAGCTTACGTAGATGCCAGGGGCGCAGCCAGTGGAGGACCGTGTACTGTACGTATCGGAGGCTTTGCGCATGTCATCATGTAATCCTTCGATTATCACATCGCACGACTGTTCCCTGAATCCTCCAAACGCAGCCTCCCGTCGGCTTCGGCATCTGAATGCTCCGATGTCTCGCCTGCCTGCATCCTTCAACTGTACCCGGCAGCTCATCCAGCGTCCGTTATGACGCGCAGGCGCGAATGCTGCCACGGATGGATATATGTACCATATGACACGTGGATGTCGCTCAACAACCTGGTACGACAGACTGTCGAATGCGGCGTCGACGCTTTTTCGTCATTGTGGTGCCTCCAAGGTTACCAGCTTTCAACGTCATGAGCCTACTCCATGTCACGGATGACAGAACCATCAGACTGCAACGTGGTGAAAACTCCTTCGATTCAATGGGACACTGCTTTGAACGTGCCACACGGAGTTTTACGCAATGGAGCAGCAGCATCTATCAATGGCGAAGCGCACTTCTCGTTCACCGGGATTCTGGCTTGGTGACGTTGAGGTCTATCAGGTGACTTCACTTTCGTTGCCACAGACTTGAAAATCACTGTGAGACCAGGCGGGAGTACGAGTACTAATGTAATGAGACAGCATCGATATCAACTTATTCGTGCATAATATTTCGATTCACGCCTATCGGGTTCCTGAGCGGCGCGGCGCGGCGCGGCGCATTATATCATCCTCTCTTCCTGTGAGGATCGCGGTGAATGATCTGACGGCACCGACTCGTCCGGATCTTAACTGTGACTCCGCATCGGCATTCATTCTATAAACAGTTGCTCTCGACCCCGCTCCCCCCCCCCCCCCGGGGGATAAAGTTCGCGATGGACTCCTCACATGACCGTGGAGGAAGAAGGGATTGACATCCATCGCGCCAGCCAGGCATCAATGCCACATGGGATCTACGGTTGGGCAACAGAAAGTTCTAGGAAGGATGCAGTGAATGCTCCACCCAGATTCGCAACAGCATGGCGAAGGAACTCTTTCCTATGCCGTCAAGTTTGCAGTGGTAGAGGCAAGCTTAGTGTATGATGGAAAGGTGAGGAGCGATGAGACCTTCACGTCGGGAAGGAGACTCCACGTGTATTCGCGACGTTCACCGCCGTAATCACCAAGTTCGCTCGATTTATCACTAGTTGCGATGAACTGATTCGAAACGTAGTGAATGGAGAGACCTCGCTCGTCGTAGAGCAGACAGTGAATAGCATGAGTTCAGAGCAAGCTGTTTCACTGCCAACTCATTCACTCGATTCCGATAGCCCTGGGGCCGTCAACGATGAAAGCAACTTGCAGTACTGTTCATTCATCAGATGTCTAGAAATGCATCACCTCACAGCCATGGGCTGGTCCGCGAGTACCCAATCTTACAACTCCCACGCTTACTGCCAAACCTGCACCATCCAGAAACTCACGATAAAACCCCCACAACTCTCACGAGTAAGCACCAAGAAGACATCACAGTCATGCCCTAGCCCGCGAGTACCTATAAGTTCAAGCCTGTTTCCATCAATTGAGCAACTCCCACCCTTACTGCCAAACCTGCACCTTACCGAACCTCGCGATAATCCTCCACAAATCTCACGAGCAGTCATTAAGGAACCAGCATGTCCGCGACCTCAAACCCCGAGATGCCAACCTCCGGCGACGGTTGCAAGCCGTGCAAGATCTGCGGCAACGCTCCGAACGTCTGCAAGTGCCAGCAGGGAGGACTGGTCGGCGTGGAGACGAAGGGGAAGGTCGGCATGCCGGAGAACTAGGGGGAAGCTGTGGGCTGCGGTGGCGGCTGTGCAGCTTTCTCGACATGCTTCAGGGGTTTGGCGGGTCTTAAGGTGGTGTGTACATCTCACATGACCGACTGGGCAGTCGGTATGCGCGCCAGCCTTGGTTGGGGAAGGGGTACGTGGATATCACCGACCGGTTACCAGGTCCCAGACAGGCGATTCTTCGCTGTGGTGGTTACTCGTCAATGTGAACTGCGTCGAGAAACTTTCGACCATCCATCGGCTCGTTTTCCCCTTTGGACACTGGTGCTTCACGTATCGAACCCGGGTGCGTGCCCAGCTTGCAGGAGGAATCGTCGACGTTGCTGAACGCAGGCGGAGCTGTTACCAGCCGCCTTCTAACTAGCCCCAGATCAGATCGGCTGTGATAGGCCGATATCAGACGTCGAAGCGATCGCAGTCGGGCCGCAGGATCTTGACATACATATCTCGGCCCGTCAAGTCGATAGCCGGGGCCGGTGAAAACGCGGGGTCCCGTTTCCATAGCAAACATTCCTTGATCAATCAGTATGACGATATTCTTGGTGAAAACTCTGGATCGCGCGTTTGCTCGAGCTCCAGTATGGTGTTCCCGTAGACTGGTCTTTTCGATCTGTGCCATGTTACTCAAGCCACAGGTCTGGGGAAGCCGATCTGAGAAGGGAGCGGCAATCTCGAAGGCGACGTGCAGCTTTGGGCCGACAGTACTTGCATGCATATGGCTTGAGTTTGTGGTTGAGGGTACGCCGCTTGGGTGCAATACTTGCTTCACATCTAGCCAAAGGGGCGAGCATTGGGTAGAAACGGTACAGTGAGGGCTGCTCGCGTAACCCAGCATTTAGAAGGAATCCTCCACAGCCAGAAGACCTTGGACTGGGATGAACTCTTAAGGGTTCTCTGGTTTGCTTACACAGTGAAAGTTGATCATGTTCAGCATAGGCCGCCGAAAGCGAAAACGAAAGCGATAAGCATGGCCGCCGCCCAGCGTCACGCAGCTAACGCGGCTACTGCCGATAACGGACCCGATGAGGCGATAGAGCAGCTACAAGAGGTGAAGAGACAAACCTTGAAGCGATTGTAGTGAACTCCAAGCGGAGCATCGCGGACCCGGCAATTCTCGCGGGTAGGCATGTGCTTAGGATCCACGCGTTGGCTTGCGTATCGACAGTCCAGGAGGAAGGAGACAGCGTGGTCAAGATGGAGAAATATGGCGTCTCGTCCTGGGCTGAGACGTCGAGGGTTGATTGCATGACAGCCGAAGGGGGCCGTCGCTCCTATTTCCTCAAAGCACACAAATCTCTCCTCTCAAGAACGGAAAGGGACTGACTGCACCAGCCACTGAGCGTGGCCAATGCGGCTGAACGTGTCGAAGGAGAGTATAGGCCCATACTGGAGATACATAACACGTTCCCAGACTTCGTGCCTACGTCAAGGGGACACGGCCAGTGTCACAGCAAGCCAGATACGTATTTCTACGTTTGCGATTATGTCGCGCTGTCGTATGAAATGCCCGACCCCGTTCGTCTCGGATCGAGACTGGCAGAGATGCACCAGCAGAGTCGATCACCTAACGGGATGTTTGGCTTCCACGGCACGACTTTCGACGGGAACCAGGCCATTAACGCGGATTGAGACAAAAACTAGACGCCCTTCTTCGCGCGGCGAATCGAAGTGGCGCTGCGAACACCACCGGATGAAGGATGAGAGGTATCAGAGGGAGTACTTCAGGAACTACCCGCCCAGTGAGCCACGGGAGGAGGCAGACGATCGTAGTCGGGTGCACGCGGTAGAGATTATCATGAATAATGGGCTCGCGTTTCCCGGCGCGAAGACACATCGGCTCGCTGTCGAGGACCTGGAATTACTGATCCTGAAGTACCTGTAGTTGCGAGGATGAAGAAGATGAAGGCCGGTTCCTTCTGATCAATGGGTCGATTTGACGTACCTCTCAGAGCTGTGTGGAAATAACATGCAGGGGTTTGAGCATGTTCTGGAAACGCCGCCTCCCGAGCAAGAACGCATATAGGTGGCAACATTTGGCAACATTTGGATAATGTAGTGTTGGTGCTTAGACTGGGTCTACTATTTGACGAGAAGGCTGTCAACCGAGACGTGCGGAATGCGAACCATCAGCGCTGCGGGACCAATGCCTCGTGCGATAGCCATAACCCATCCACTCATACGAAGCCACCCTACAAGTTCTCGTGAATGTTGCTCTCCTAACAAATCGGTCTGGGCCGGACCGTGATCGACCTCATAGGCCTGCCCTTGATGTCCATCGAGGAGTATCTATGTTCAAACCTGTACCTATATCAATTTGATAGTCCTTCGTTTCCAAGCCGACTCCACGCTCTCATCAGCCTCGTACTCGGGACATCCCGAGCCGGGATAATCACCTAGCTGGGCGATACCGACCCTCCGGTACTGATCAGCGCCTAGATCTGGAGGGTGAAGCAGCAACAGAACGGGTTTCCAGGCCTGACGTCCTAACAAGATCGCCATGGCGACCGACCCCCCGACCGCCCGTTCGTCGTCCATTACGGCCTCCGCGTGCCAGAGCTTCGTGCTGCCCGCGTCCGAGAACACAAGCGACTGGCTGATATTCCCGTCTCTGTTCCGGTCGGAGTCGGCGGCGAAGATGTAATCCCGCGTCACCGTACCGAGCCTGATCCGCGTGTCCAGGTATATATAGGCTGATAGGACGTCGCCAAAGGGGCTCGCTGGCCCGTGTTTGTATTGGAGATCCACCACCCTCGGCGTGAACATGGAAACGTCGTGTGTTCTGCCGGAAGCCCAGTAATATGAGACGGTCGAGCTTTGGGAGGCCCACGTCCACGAGGGGCACGAATACGTCTTGTTCTTGTGCCCCACCGAGTCGCGCCTCCACAGCATCCCGGACAGGATGCAGTCCTTCCACAGCCCGGCGACGTAATCGACGTGTCTGTTAAGGTATGTCGCCCTGACTAGAGCGCTAATGGCCACTAGCTTGTCGCTCCCAAACGTGAGGTGGCGTTTTGAGTAGCGTTCCACAATGCCCTGGTACCACAGCTCGTCAATAGCCTCGGGGACAAGCGGGCAGTCGAAGTCCAGGATCGGGTAGAGCTCCTGGTGCTGCTTCTGCGGAAAATTCTCCTCGTTGACGATGCAATGCGTACACTTCCACACCAGCTGCTTGGACGTGTAGTACAAGATACGCCGAGGAAGGACTTGCTCCTGGAGTGTCCACGCGCGCGTCGCAAGAGGGCTTTCAAGCACCTGGTGTTGGTACATGTCGAGGTCGTCGACGATACCGCTGTACTTTGAGAAGTACAGACGGCTCTTACGGCCGTCTTTCAGTGTTCCCTCGATAGTGACCCAGCCTTCGTGGAACTTTGCAGACTTGACGGTTGGCTGAGACTCACTATTGAAGCACCCCTTGTCCGCTGACACGCTCGACGCAACGGCTATGGTCAGGACGGAACCGAGGTAGATACCGCTCATTTTGGCTGATTCCCTGATCCAGTCGTCTGCGTCGTCCTGCACGATACATAGTGCATCAATCCAAATGTAAGGGATACCTAGCTTCTCGGCCACCATGATACCATCCTGGATGGTTTTGGGTAAAGAAGAACGAGGTATCCCTTCGAGATGAGAACCTAAAGTCTTTCTTGTCGTCCGCGCACCGTCGTCTCCTGCTTCTGGCTGACCCCAGCAGTAGCTCAACGCTGCGAAGCGGACCGGCTCACCTGTAGCCTCGATTTTCCTAGTCTCGACCAAGCGAACCATCCCGTTACCTTCCGAATCTGGACATATCTGGATTAGACGAGAAGGGATCTCGGCGAGCAATGTGTCTGACTTGGACACAGCCGTAGCTTCCTGGAGTGTCCACGCATGTTCGATCTCAACGGGCGGGTACACTGCTCTTGGCTTACCGCGCGGTCCCCACGTGGTTTGCCGCGGTGCTGGCTCGCAGGAGAGACAACTCTGGAGCCAGCCCGCGGCAACGTCAAAGGATCGCGCAGAAGCCGTGTTCGGGCCAAGTTCGCGAACCCAGCCCACGCCGGACCCCATCGCTATATCATGCTCATCCGTAAGTACGGGTACTGTCGTGCTGACAACGATCTCCGGGTCCGCGCCCTCGGGAACGGTGTACTCAAGTGGCGGGTCCGCCCAACTATGTAAGAAGGGCTGCAAGTCAGGTTCCTCCCATGGACGGTAATCGTAAATAGCAAACCGCAACGAACTGGGGGATGAGCCGGACCAGGTTGCGGAGGAAGAGTCATAATGACCGCTTTGTTCAATCAATTGTCTTGATCCTGACATGGGCGAGGCCCAAGACACACGGAACGAGAATGCCTACCTGGAGTTTTGGACCGAACCAAGGGTTCCGAGCTCGAGCTCGAGTGACACGAGAATCCGGTACCTGTCATCGGTGTATCTCTTGTTTGAGTTGACATTCAAGAGGGTCGACACAGATCTGCATAAGTCGCAGTTCACCCCCGAGTCGTAAATCTCGGAAAGCAACAAATGGCAATAGCCCGCGCCGTCAGTGACGGTTTCTATGTTGATTCCAGAGCACGTGTCGCACAGCGTTTCGGTGGCTTTGGACGTCGCTGCCGGCTTTTCGTCGTCCTGCGGCATCGATGGGTTTGGCACGCGAGGCCGCAGTGAGTCGGTGTCGCTGTCATCATCCCCCAAGCCGCCATTCACGGAGACCCAGCGCTCCGGATGCGGCTCTCGGAGGTAATCCACCGACTTGGTCCGTCGGGTCGGCACCTCGGGTTTCTCCTCTTTGGCCTGTCCAAGACGCCGTTGTATTGACCTCGTCACCGAGCCGGTCCGCAGCATTTTCTGCGGCTTCTTCAGATTCTCCATTTCCTCGCTGCGGGTTCTCTTCCGAGGGGCAATCACCTCGATCGCTGCCTGGAGCAGCGACGTGTTGTTTCCCATTGCCAATGAGCTTTAGATGCGAATGCGACCAACCTGATCTGGCTGCTGCGGCATGGGGAGGAGATGGGAGGAACACCGCCAGCGGGGCTGAGAAAAGATCAGCGACAGCCAAGTCCTTTTCGGCGATAAGCTCATCTACTAACATATACACTCAGCCCTAATAAGTCTCCATACATGCCAGATTGGAAGAACTCCAGATCACAGTGAAAATATGGAAATACTGGAATAAGCTGACATCAATAAGCAGATCATAGCTATAAAGTTATCTTCGATGCTTATTCTAGCGTGCTTATACCACTTATGATAAACGTACCCTTTGATTGATAAATGAGGGCTACACGGAGACTTATAAGGGTTCAGGGTTCAGGGTACATGCGTATATGCTAAAGCCTTTAGATTTATTAGAGGGTTAAGCCCCCTTGCACTACGTAAAGTCTGGAGAGAGTGAGAAAAGAAAAGAAGAAGAAAAAGGTGACGCTAGGAAATACACGAATTGTTCTGTTCCCCTCACCACACAAATTACCGCCAGCCGCGTCACTTGCTCAGACTTCCAGGTCTCGAGACTTGCCCACAATCAATCACACCAACGCCCCAGAACCGAACTGAAAAGGAAGACATTCTCCCCACTCTCCTCTGTCTTACCCTCCTCCTGAAAAACCCGCTCCTTTGCCAGCAGTTGGTGAGTAGCCCTTATCCATGACCATATAGCCGCGTTGTTAGGCGTCAGATTCGCTTGTGTCCTGGGCGGCCGTGGGCGTGGATTCCCTTTTCCGTTTGGCTTTATATCCTTCCTTGTACACGGATTGTGTCTGCACACATTTGTGGCATGTCGGATTGGCTTGCCGTCGAGCTTTTTGCACGCTGAATATTGGCTGAGGTGCTTCCGTTTATGGCACCTAATACACTCAGGCATGGGAGGGTCGTTTTCGGTGTCCGAGTCGCCTTGATTGGGGTGCTGCTTACAGACAGAATGAGGATATTCATACTGACCACTGGAATGGAATTGGAAGTTGTCGATCTCCACTTGCTTCCGACAGATCGCACACCAGGCATACTCATCGCCGGTGTCCCAAGTTCTCCCTGGTTGTTCTGGTTCTTTCTATTCCTTGCGTATTCTAGCCCCGACTCTCTCCCTTTCTACCACCACGCTGCAAAGTGCACTGAAGCTGCCGTCTTTTCTCTGATCAAAGAAGTGCTTTTCGTGCGGTTCCATGTGTCTAGAACACCACGCATGCAATGGATGCTCGCCTTCAGCTTCCCAGATCTGTCTTTTCCGCCGATTGAGATTACCGACTGGTTTACCCCGCGTGCACCATTGACATATCCGTGCGGTCCCAGCGTCTCCAGTCGATTGGTCCGCAGCTTGATCTTCCAATACAAGACCACATGAACTGCATACTGGCATGCCTCCTGGAGTTTCCCCTTTAGCACGGCAATCTCGGCAACATGGTGAAAAATTTATCTCTTTGGATTTCAAGTACTTGAAGTGCTCCAGCTCAAACTCATTCCGGCAGGCAAAGCATCGCCTCTTTGTGGAAAATCCCTGCGTCGACGAGCTTGCGGCCTCTGCAGGTCCCGGATCAGCTGAAGTTGTGGCGAAACTATATCCACCACCCTGAGACGGGGCTGCGGGTGAAAGCGATGTCGAGCTCGCCGCAGCTCCTCCAAGGGCACCGTGTTCAAATTCCGGGGTGACAGGCGTCGAGAAACCTGGCACAGAGCCCCTATGACCGGATCCAGTGGCAACATTGTAGCCAGTCCACGCGTCAGATGGTTGCGGATCCAGTAGTTTGAGGCAGTTGCCACAAAAGGTTTTCGAGGTGGTGAAGATTTGTTGTTGTATCAACGTCGGGCATTTGTCGTGTAGAAGTCCATAACAATTGGCTGGTGCATCTTCCAGGGGGATGTCGTTGTCCCCATCCCATCCCCAGCAACACCAGTCGCATACGTTCTTCTTGGTAGGGTTCAAGTTCGCAGTGGAACGCTCGTATCCGCAAATAACACATTTGAACGTATTCTCTTCGACCTTAGTATCCTTGAATCCTAGGGGTGGTCCCCGTGGTTGGGAGTTGTGTGATCCACTGGTACCGGAGTCGGGGTGTGACATGTTGGCTCGGAACTTGAAGCGGGCTCGCTGCAGGAGATGCAGTGGACTGATTGAGAGGCTTGTTGAAGACTCAGATAGATAGTTGTGCGTGTGTGTGTGTGTGGTTTCATGCTCTCAACAAGGCCACTGTCTGCAGTACTTAAGTAGGCCGAGTCTACGAGAGAAAGTATCCCGATGGTCCTGTTGCTTGAGACTGACATGGTGATTGAAGGATGTCAGCACATTCATGGACTTCCACTGACTTTTCTTGCTCCGTGAATCACATTAAATTGGACGTTGGATGAAAACTAGTCTGAACAGAAGACAACGGAATCTCAAGAGAGAACCATTAGCTTGAGCTATGTCTCTACTCAGGTAGGTGATTCAATGAGCCAAGCTCTGATACACTGAACCCTCATAAGTCTCCGTACACCACCCGTATCAGCAACTGCCAGTGAATTTATGAAATTGGAATAAGCGCACTGGAATAAGCAATTAAAGCGTCGTATCAAGCTAGAGCTGCTTATTCTTGTCTGATTATTCCAGTATTAGCTAATTTTCCACGTGTGGTCGGGAATCCTCACAACTTGGCGCGTCCAGAGACTTATGAGGGCTGAGTGGACCGTCCAGTCTTGTAGCAAACTGGCAGCACCACTGAGTCCGTGGAGCACGTGTCAGCAGTATTACAGGCAAGCAGTGATTCACACCATGAGGGTGCCGTCGAGGAAACGTGATTCTCGGGATGACACGTCCTTACCGATTCCGGGCTTTGTCTGCCTTTCCCTTCAGCCTCGGGTGAGCGCTGTAGCTGGAGGCCTTCTAGTAAGTTACTTGGCCGGAGTGAATGGGCCAGCTCGCGTAGCCGTGAGGGCGCAAGCGACAGCGTGTGGCCGCCACGCGACAATGTCGACGAGGGATCGAAGACGAATCTGTTCCCAACGCCACACTCGGTGCGACACTGACCAGCCAAAACCCAAGGGACATCTTAGAAGTGTTTTTGGTGCCTAGCTACGAACCTTCGTCACCCAATTTGCGTCAATCAAGAGCCCTGCATTCGAGCTATTCACAGCAATGGGACTCTTTGCGCCCCTGTTAGACCAGATAGATCAGATCTGCTGTGCCACCGCCGCGACAGAAAGGCCCGAACAGACATTCGGTGCCATTATCACGTTCCCGACCACTCGCCTGCACTGCCCTATCACGTCAACACTGGGGCTCATCATGGCACCAGAGGTCAGTTGTGTCATATCTCCAGCACCGCTGAGAGCCAACCCGGTGTTCGCAAGGTAAGTTGCCCGTTGGGGCAGAAAGTTCTCAAACAATGCTGCACCTGCGACAGAGAACTAGGTCGTGAGGGGAGGCAGCCTGCCAGATTCCCAGGGGAGGAACTATACGCAAGGTGATTCTGGACCACCGTCACAAGCCACAGCATGGCATCGTCAGGTACGCGGTTGTGGTTAGAAATCGGCCCCGGGCCGGAGGAACGAGCTGAGTAGAATGCGGCCTGCTCCCCGCGACTAGCTAGTTAACTCGTTGCTCGTTCAGAATCGGCACGGCCGTTGGATGGCGGCCTATCTACTTAGCTACCCGCAGATCTACCCGCAGATATGCTCTGTCTTAGACTGCATGTGCCAGCTGCTGAAGCTGACACAGCCGGATGGGGAATCCCGGCAGTTGAACGGAGGAGGTATAGTAAGAAGCCACTGATACCCCACAATTGATCAAAAGGGGGGAAGTTGGGAATCCCGCTATCATGTACCGCGTGCGGAGCAAGCACAGCATAGTCACATGCACCCCTGTTTCAATTGGGAGACACCTACTGGAGGCGCCATGTTCACCCGCGGTAGAACACCGCGAACCACGAGTGACGTGCAGATAATAAAGAGCCACATAGAGCAAGTAGAGCTCCAACGGACACTAGAGGTAGTCCTCCCACACCATCCCATTTATACTCGACTGCATCGATCTTGCAATGGACAGAAGCACAGAGCACCAGCTGCACCTCATCGTCATCGGCGGCGGCCTCGCAGGCCTATCGGCCGCCATCTCGACAACACTCGCCGGCCACCGCTGTACAGTGCTCGAAAAGGCGCCCTCGCTCCACGAGGTGGGCGCTGGGCTTCAACTAACGCCCAACGCGACGCGCCTCCTCCGCCGGTGGGGGATCGCATACGCATTGGCGCCGCTAGTCGCCGAGCCCACAAGCCTCAGCGTGCACCGCTTCGACGGCACCAAGGTACTATCAAGCGACCCGCACTGGCAGGAGAACATGGCGCTCCGCTACGGCGCACCCTTCTGGGACGTCCACCGGGTGGACCTGCAGGCGGCGATGCTGTCGCACGCGCAGCAGCTGGGCGTGCAGATCCGCACCGGCGCCGAGGTCGAGGACATCGATTTCGCGGCCGCAACGGTGACGCTCGCGGGCGGCTCGCGGGAGACGGTGGAAGGCGACGTGGTGCTCGCCGCGGACGGCCTGTGGTCGCGGGCGCGTGACCTGCTCATCGGCTGGCCCATGCGACCCGCGCCGACGGGCGATCTGGCCTACCGCATCATCCTCAAGTCCGAGGACCTAAGGGACGATCCGGAACTGGCGCAGTTGGCGGCGAAGCCGAGCGTGAACTTCTGGATCGGGCCCCATTCCCACGTGGTGGGCTACTCGGTCCGCGCCGGGAAGGAGTTCAACCTGGTGCTGCTCTGTCCGGATAGCTTGCCGGAGGGCTGCTCCAGGGCCGCTGCGGACATAGATGAGATGCGGGAGCTGTTTCGAGGATGGGATCCTATGTGGGTTCCCTGCGGTCCTGAAACGGATGTGGCACTGACTAGCTGTAGTTTGACGAGATTGCTGAACTGCGTCAAGGCCGTAGACAAGTGGAGGCTGATGCATTGTGGGTAGAACTCTGTGAACGAGAATTCTGGAATGGGGGATCCAATACTGACATTGAGAAAAGTCGCCTCGCTCCAGACGTGGAATCACAAGAGCGGGCGTTTCACCATGGCGTAAGCTTCACCTTGCCCTTTTTTAAAGCCTCTTATTGAACCATGATCACAGGGGAGACTCCTGCCACCCTATGCTCCCATATTTGGCCCAGGGCGCAAACACGGCCATAGAAGACGGCGCGGTGCTCGGCCGGCTGCTGGGCACAATTAGTCAAGCCGCGGATATCCCCCGCGTATTGGGGGTATATGAAAAGCTTCGGAAAGAGAGGGTCGAGGAGGTGGCTGATCAGGCACTCAAGCAGGTAAGGCCTCCTCATGTCTCATGTGCCGCAAGGAAGTGCGTCTGCGTTGTCATACTAACCAGTTAACCAAGAGACGGGATTTTCATCTCCCAGACGGGCCACTGCAAGAGACAAGGGATAAGATCATGACCGGGGAGCAGCCCCCTATTAGCGAGTATCCAAGTAGATGGTATGTTGTTTGGTCATCCACATCCTTTCCGAAACCCCACCACTAACACAACTCTAAAGGACCTGTCCCAAAGTACAGCCGTGGCTGTATGGATACGATGCCATGGCCTCAGCTTGATAGTGCACGAGGGTTTGTCTGAGACAAGTGGAGATGAACTCCAGAATGCTAAGTAGGACGCGGCCTCACAATTCTAGACCTGTTCATAGCTTAAACGTTCGGCGCTGGGTGAGGACATCTCCAAGGCGGTTCGACCGTAAGTCGTAGGACTGAGGACGTAAGAATGAAAGACTCGTTATCATGAAAACTCCCGTTAAACTTCCTGGGTGTGATCACCTCGCAAAACTTTCTGTGGGCACGCAGTATAGGTGTCGTGCCATTGCCAGCATATCGAGTGAAGTCTCTAGATTGACATATAGTTAAATAGCAATGTAAAAGAGTGGACAATGTCAATTGACGTTATTAAGCAGATGTGAGTAACCGCAGAACTATGAACGCCAAATACTGGAGAGATGAAACAAAATAGGAAAAACATAACACCAAACGCCTCGAGAAAGACGCGCAAACGAAAGACAAACCCACCCCGCCGTCACCACGGTGACCTCTTCTCACTACCCGATTGATCGTAAGTGCCCAAGGGGGTTCAACGCCATAGACGAACGCGACGACCATCATCGAGCTACTTGTTTTCCTTTGCCTTTGGCTGGTACCTCTTCTCAGGCGGGATTATATCTGCGCTCAGGGGGCAGATACCCGCTGCGGTATCTTATAAAGCACCACAACTGAGGGGGTATGATTTGGAACTCAACCGGTAATTCAACCGGTAAGAGACGCCCAGCATAGGGAATCAGTTCCTCTGATCTTGGCGGACTCAGATCTGGGGGGTGACCGCGGTAGCAGTGGTCGTCGTACCATTTCTTTCCAGCAGGTGTATCGTACCACGGCCTGTGTGCGAATTTTCTTCCATCGTCGGTCAGTTTGAGCTTCGCCTACAGCTGGGCTTGATCCGATTTAAGGAAGGTTTCAGCGCTTTGGCTACTCAGCCAAGCTACCCCAGGGGGTGTGTCAAGCCAGTCGCTTCTGCCTTCGTTCGCAAACCACCAATGGCACGCAGAAGTAGAACGCCATGCCATGCCCAGACGTTCCGTTTCGAGCCAGATTACGCCGTTTGGGGTAGACAGCCAATCCCAGAACTGGTTCGGGTGAGCTTGTCTTCTGAGGTGGCGATGTAATCGAAACAGAATTTACGATGGGTGGTGACGAAGAGATCCATCTCCCGTTTTACAAAACGCATCATCCTCGTATCGTTGACGTTGGTGATCTCGGGGCTCGTAATGATACCGGGCAGGGATGGATTGGGTGGTGCTCCCCCAATCCACTGGGCCTCGACTCGCTCCATCTTCCAGGGCTGGACATCTGGCGGGACGTCGCCAACGAGGATCCTGTACTCTTCAAGTGAGGCACCATCACCTCCGTCGACGTTCGTCAGGTGAAGAAAGATCTGGGCCAAGCTGCCAAAGTGTCCGCCGCCCGGTGTCTGCGGACCCCTTGGTGGTTCCGTCATCCGTCTCGGATTGCGCTCGTGGCTGAGATGCTTAAACATCCCTTGTATAGGTCTTGGAGTCTAAGTACGTAGACCGCGATCTCCAGGGCGTTGCATTGGGGCATATTATTCTCGTCTCGGAGGGCTGTGACGATCCAAGCCTGAATGAACCCGTCCAGGAAAAACCAATCTACCTTTCGCCTTACTCTCGGAGTTTGAAACTCCATGTTCAACTCGATTTCGAAGGGGTCGTCGCCAAGATGCACCCGGCCTTCGAGCTGCGCCAGTGCTGCGACCGAGGCGTCCCTTATAGCAACTTCGATTTTAGACCATGGGGGTTTGTGGGTATCGATCACGTCGACATTGCCTTTGGCCAGGACGACCATAGCATCGATGAAGCCGGAACGGCTGAGGCCTTCCCAAATCGACTCGGCCGCCCACCAGGACTTATTCACCTCCACTTCTCTGTTCAGGGTTTCGAGGTTTACCGGTCTGATGATCACCGGCTTGTGGCGTAGCACGGGGCGCTCCTCATTGTCTATGCTGAAACCGGTGTTATTGGTATACGCGGACTGGCGTTGTGCAGCGAGGGGATTCCCGGAATATCCAGGGTCCGTCTCGAAAATGAAGTGTACCCAGCTAGGAGAGTGTCGAATCTCTTTGCAGATCCTTTCGAGGACGTTATCATCGAGGCGGTCCCATACAGTTGGGCGTTGGGGTTCGGCACTAGGGTCGGTACGGGGGCTGACTTTGGTAGCAGTCTTGGCACGGCTGAAGAGAGTACGGAACCTGTTTACCACGTAATCTGGCACCTCACGGGCAGTTTAGGTTTGCCGATGCCTTTCGCAGTAGTAGCTTGGTGTCGTAGGTCAGAGCTACCAGCAAGGGTTGTTGACTCAGGCTTCGGCCCGCCTTCTTGTCCTGGCTGGGCCATGGTGAGTGGGTGCGGTGTATGGGCCGCTGCGTGGTCAGAGATCCAGGAGCGAAAGGTAAGCTCGTCATGCTCTTACTTATAATGAACAGTAACCGACACCAAGCGAGCACCAAAAGCCAGTTGGCTCCCTCGAACAGAGGAGAGCCATGTCCACGTGTTGACACTACAGGCCATCTGTTGCAGTGTTGGCGTAATGTAATATGATGAACAAAGGATGCTTCAGCTCGACTCGCTGCGTTAGTGAGTTGTGCGCCATCAAGATATTGTGAAGTAGAAATGTTAGTTGTCATGTGCGGGCTCTGAGAAGAGCCGGGGAAATCGTAGGAGCCAAGGTAAGCCCAGTAGACATAGGAAATTCGATGTTCGCGGTCCAACCAGCTGTCAAGTTTCAGTCTGAAGCGCCAACCATGGAACGCGGAAGATTTTCAAATGAGACCGGAAGAGGTTGGGTAGAGATCGAAAACCAACTTGCATATTTCACCGTCCAACCATCCGAGTAGACATAGGAAATTCGATGTTCGCGGTCCAACCAGCTGTGAAGTCCAGTCTGAAGCGCCAACTATGCAGATGGTTCTCAAAGGGGACCGGAAGAGGTTGGGTAGAGATCGAAAACCAACCTGCACATGTCAACATCCAACCATGGCATGCAAGCGTTGGCCGTACAGGATCCCTGGCGTCGCGGAGGTGAGCGACAAGGGGGCGGTGTTGGGAAACCTAACCTCACCGAGGTCTGGTTGTAATGAACCACGAAGGCCATCAAACGAACAATGGGAAAGGGATCTCGCCGTTGGCTCCTGAGCACATGATGTTGATAGAAGTTGTTGAAAGAATCAGCGGACTGCACGCAAACGGTCAAACACTCGAAGTCATGGTACCGGGGTAACCTTGGAGCCTAGTCATGAGCCCTACGTGCGTACCCGCACAGCTACCACAATGGCCCATCCGCCAAGACTCTCCCAAATTCCAAAGTCGTTCTCCCGGCGAAATGCGACCTTATCCGCAATGACAGACATTTGGACCCTGTCCGGAGCTTGCTGTTGGTCCTCCGATGCCACGGGCTTTACGGCCGGTAACACATCCTCGCCTCGCTTTCCGCTTCCGGAAACACGTCTCCCCCAAGCCCAACCTTTCTTATCCTTTTGGGCCGGGAGTCGCTGCTCTACAACGTTCTGCACAACCGACATGTGCTTTGTAGAAACCCTCTTCTCGATCTTCGGCTGCATATAGCTTGCTAGACGATGCGCCAGGTCTTCGTCGCGCCACCAGAACATTCCGTCATTCGAAGTCGAGTCTTCGGTGGCCGTACTCAACTCGCCAAAGCGGCCCCAATCGCTGAATTCCTTCCCAGAAGCCCAGTGCTGATCGCCACTACTGGCCTGACCATGTGCGTTACTAGATCTTTTCTTCGAGTCCTTCCCGTCCGTTAAATTGGGATAGACGGCCACTCGCGACACCTCACAGACTTCGCCCCGCTGACGCATCTCCTCGAACCCACTCAGTACTGCATCTCGAGGCACGGCTGCCTCTGGTACAAGCGTAAGAGTTGCGAGCGAAGGCGCCGTGTGCCGACGGCCTAGATCGGCCAGGAAAGTCTCGATACCTGGTACGAGGTGATCCAGTAGGGCTAGGTCATCGAACGACTGTTGCGTTGTATGCGCCTCTTGCGTTGCGCGAATGCGGTCAGGTAAGGACATGCGGTGATGTTGCAACTGTGAGGTCAAGGACACCGGTTGCAGGACATTGTAGGAGGTGGCATCGTCGTCACGGACCGTGTAAGGGGGTGGCGGTAACTCCAACTCCCCCGCCGGCGCCTTGCTATCCATGATGGGATGTAGTAGAGGTTATCAAAACAAGCAATACTGGTGGTAGTCGGCGCAGTGTGGGGAGGCGACAGGATTATCAGCTCAACGGATACTGGAAGAGCAGTTGAGGCTAAGAATGCCGTCAAAGGTACGTAGGGAAGGTTTGGGTGGCACGTGATCATGTTTTAGAAAGACGCCTCAAAGGTGCTCAGGCTGAGTACCGTAAGTACATGTAGGTACCTAAGCTTCACGCGCTGTTTGGCGGGGCAGTGTCGGCTGTGACAGATCATGGAAACATGCAAGTTGAATAAGGTCCCCTTTAGAAATCGCAGTCAAAAGACAACCTGGTGCCACATTGAATGGAAGCGACTCACCGATATCTGGCGGCGCAATACGAGCGATGTCAGATTTCGAGTCAATGAAAGAGACACAGCAGATACTGTAAGCCTCCCGTTGTGCCTGGTATGAGGTAGCGTTGACCATGTGGTCAGCCTTGCGTCCGGACAATAGCCGCGATAGGGGCTGTGCCCCGCGGCAGCGTTCAGCTCCTGCGCTTCTGCACCGAAGGCCGGATCCGGCTAGGTTACGCTCGCTTTGCGGCCTTTGAGCAGTTTGTTATTGGTGAGTTGTCACCTTGTGCCTCTCCCTACCACCTGAGTTTGCACACAGATCTGGATGGAGTTGACCACGCGGGGTTGGGGTTTATGGCGCCGATAGAGTGGCAAACCTAGGTAGGTTCTAAAGCTTCTATGAACTAGAAACTGCGGCGTCGACACGAGACTTCGATGCCTACACTAGGCACACTTTGGCAGTGATATTACACAAGGTGCAACCCCTTTGAAGATCGAAACGAGGCTAGGTAGGTATGTATACGATGAGGCTGATCAGCGACTTCTGTCTCCAGGCAATGAAAGGGGGGTGGAAGATGAACATGAAGCGTACGGGCGAGGGCTAGCGAGTAAAACAGTGGCGCCCACTGTGGGCCTCTCCGGGATCTAGCAGGCTTTGAGAAGGTTTCTAGAGGGATTTTAGTGGGTGGGTATTAGCCCTAGTGTCTGATTGTAGCGTAGCTAGTATATATATATTAGCTTTCATTATGAAAATATTTAATAAAATTAAACACGTTATATTTTATTTTTATTGTTAGATCTATGCAATTCCAGCCTGCAAACCATCTATACCAAGACCCACATGTATGATTAGATAAGAGATTAGATACCGGATTGCGAGGTTACTTAGCCAGACTTTCAGGTCCAGCTAGACCTCCCAATCCAACCATCAGCAACATCATAACCTTGACCCCATACTCGAGTATTATGATTGATCGTTCAAGCCTGTTCCAACATTTATATTGTTTATAATTAGTTATTTATCTAACGGATTTAAAAAAAGTAAGTTAAAAAGATAGTCGAGTAGTATTTTAAAACATTAAATAATATTTAAATTACTCAAAACTATCCCAATTTAAGAATAAAAAGATCAATCGTTAACAGATTAGTTGGTTTAATTTATTTTTTAATTATTAACGAGATAGGCTGGTCAAAAACGTATCAAGATATCAACGTATAAAACCGGTAGTACTAGGCTTATTTTAGGCCTATTTTAAACGAAACGGGACTTATCAAGATTAGCTTTATTTTATATTTATTACTATTGATAATCCAGGTTTTACTTAATTCTTGAACTCTTATCTATTTATTCGTTGTCGTTATTTTAAGACCTTTAAACAGTTAATTATTGCTTTTTTCGTTATCAAGTAGCTATTTTTGATAAATAATAAAAGACATTATTGAACGTTATTTTAAAATAAAACGTCTTTTAACTTGGTTTATTAAATCTTAACGACGTTTTTTAAAGATTTTTAAAAAACATATATACTTACAATTAACTTATGTTAAAAAATTTCAAGTATTATTTTATTATCAATGTGAAATCATCCTTTAACTGTTACGTGTTTTTATTAATTTCAAACCTTTAATAGTTTAGCGGCTCAAAATTTTGTTATGTTTAACTTAGTAATATTTCAAAGCGATTTATTTTTAAGAAAATAGTCTTATTTCTTTTCACTTAAGATTAAAAACTTTGTTTTTAATTGTATTTTATTAAGATATTTCATTTTTAAACGGGATTTTAAAATATTTACATTTATTTATATATAATTAGTTTTAATAAAGTTAATCTGAACGATCCGTATTATAATGAACGAAAATTAGTTTTTAAAGGTTGTTTTATTAAAGACTTTTAACAGTTCATTAATAATATTAAGCTTCATATTTTTAAAAATAATGGTTAATAATAATAAAGGTAACTTTAATAGGGAAAGGAATTCCGGGTTTAACAAGGTTTACGTGGCGAGACTAAAGACTGGTATTTTGACGTTTTACTTCAAAATAGATAAAATTAAAATAAATTTTGTAAGGATTTTAAAACGCGGTGTTTTTTGTGTATTTTTAAGAACGACTTAGGTTTAACGTTATATATTAACATATTAAAAACGTTAACGAGGTAAATTGCTTATAAATTTTAGTAATCGCGTAAGGGAATTTTTTTCCCGTGTAACTAATACTTGATTATAAAGTTAAAAGACCGTATATATACATATATATATATTGATAATGAACTTAAAGATATACGTTTCTAAAATCGAGTTAGCGATTAATCGTTTATTTAAAGTTGTTTTAACGATATAAACGATATAATTAATAAATATATATATTAACGTTTAAGATATAATAGATGCTTACTTTATTTCTTTGAAAAGAATAATATTATTTTTAACTAAGTCAAAAATAACTTGTAAAAAGTCTAGTATTAAGTTTTTAGATAAATATTTATATAAAATTACGAAGTGTTTTAAGGATTTTTCACTTAAATTTCGTTATACGTGCTTACCATTTTTATCAACGGTATTTAAAGTTTTAATAGTTTAAGATATTAAGTAAAGTCGTTTATCCCGGATTAAACGAGATTAAACCAGCGCATATAATTTTATGAGGTTACTTAATTAAAGCGTAAATAAATAAAATATTCATATTTAATTGGAATTAAAATAACTTATGTGGGTTAGAAGATTAGCATTTTAATAATAATAATAATAACGTCTTAAAATACCTCATATAAAAAGTATTATAACTGCTTCGACCCTAGATATATATTAAAGAAATGCCCTTATAAAAAAACGTCTTATAACGAAAAATGCCGAAAAAATATATTAAATACCGGTAAAGCCTTGCTAATAGATTTAACCCCGTTTAAAGTTAGACCGGTTCCACTTAAAAAGGCTCCGGCTAATTTTCAGACAACCTTTATTAAAAGTAATTTCTTAAAAACTTAATCAAGTTGTTAAACGATAACAAACCTTTTAATATAATTATTGTATTTAATAACTCATGTTAAAAAACAATATTACTTTAAATATTAACTGATTAAACGAAGAATATCTAATGATTTTTTTTAATCGGTAGTAATATAAACGAGTTTATTATAATAAAAAAATAATTAAAAAACAAGTTATCACAGAAACTCATATTAAAAACGGATAGTAGTATTCGAAATTGTGCGGGACTATTTAAATTCCGTTATAATAAAGCTCTTTTTTAACCGTGGGTTTAAAAAACATTACTTTCTCTTTTAAATAAAGGCAATTAAATCCTACTAACTAAAGTCCAATTGAAAGCGGAGTTTGATAACAATTTTACAAACTTAATAGACGACTCCTTGCACGTAAAACATGTATATAAGCGTTTTATAGTTTTTGAATTTAATTATATAAAGATTATTCAAAAGAACGTTTAAATAGTGGTCCTTTAAAAAGATAAGTAAAAATGTTTATCATAAAGCTCGAATAATGTATCAATATTATAAAGGGATTTAAGTTATATCTGTTATATATTTATTAATTGTTTATTAAGCTTAGGTTCAAACCTTGTGAAAAGCTTATATGAATTATCTCAATTTTAGCTAATAATATTATCCGTGACGATGCTGTTCAATGCGGGTATTTTTTAAAACGTTAAAAATATTAAATGTATCCGAATAATAGCAGTGAATCTCATGTTTATAAATGTAGTTTTTATAAATAACGAGAACACGTATTTTAATTATATTATTATCGAGATGAATAAATAGGTTATTATTTAAGTTTCAGTTAATTATAACCTTTTAACTAAATTTATAAGCGTTTAACTTACGGTGAAAATAGGTTTAATTTTCTTAAAGCTTATAAGTTAGTTATCATATTTATATATAAAAAATAACTTAGCGTTGTTTTTATTTACTATGTAAAATCCGTAATAATTTCTAATAGCTTTTTATTAATTGTTACGGTAAATATTGCAGGTGCTGGAACAGGCTTGAACGATCAATCATAATACTCGAGTATGGGGTCAAGGTCATGATGTTGCTGATGGTTGGATTGAGAAGTTTAGCTGGACCTGCAGGTCTTGTTACGGCGAGCGGACTGAGGAGCTGGGACATGGCCGGCAGCAAGCAGCTATTACTCTATTAACGAGAATATCAAGACTAGAGAGGAAAGGAAGAGAGAGAGAGATAGGTACAGTGGGAGGTTACCCCTTTAAGGGGATCCTCTGATCAGATCCTTCCCTTATTGGGAAGTATCGGCTTGTCATGTGAGAACGTCTGTGCAGGCCGTCACAGGTCGGGCTAAGTGACCTCACAATCTGGTATCTAATCTCTTATCTAATCATATACGTGGGTTCTGTAGGGATGGTTTGTGTTGGATTAAAGGTGAGCACAGAGGGCACCTTGATAGGTAGACACCGGAACCTAGTTGTTCCGTCCCGATCCAGCCCCCTCTGGCACAAAACTGCCACGGTCGCACAAGGACACTCCAGACACACAGAATACACACACACACTTCAACCTCACGATTGGCTCAAATCTGACAATTAAGAGTCTCATTGCCGATCCCTTTGACAAACCCTATCTATCCTGTATATCTAAGATGCCTGTCCTTTCAACCCTTCGAGAGTGTGAGAAAGCAGACTTCTCAGCATCACTGT